TACACCTACACTATATGGTATCTACATTAATCTTACCCATCGGAACCTTAAACCCATGTGGCCTATATATCGCATCTTGAAGTACTCTAGAGTTTGATGCTAAGCCCTCCCAACCCAATAAGACAAATATATGAACCTCATATCTCGGGAACAAACTCCTAATACATTAGTGGCAATGTCATCTTTTCTTGTTCAATATCTTGGCTTGTCATTATCGAGCACATGCACCTTTACATACGTCATATCTAAAGCTCCCAAGCAATTCTATACAAACAAAACATAGATGGTTCAATTCATGGAACAAAATTCCAAAAACTAGATCGCAATCAACACCTCAATATGAACCTATAAACCTACCTTAAACCATTTCCATCTTTCCTCAGTGCAATCATTAGGCACATGATCTGGCACTCTTAATAAAATATCATGTAGCCTTAGGATAGCATTTAGAACTGAATTGAAGTACCTACTCACCGTCTCACCAGATCGACCGAATGTATCATGAACCATACGACTTTTTTATGTGATGGGCAAGAATATATAAACACATACAAACTTGCTCCTCAATGGCCACTAAACCATACATCTTCAACCTCCAATGAGTACGAAGTAATTCGCACAACATGCCAAATGTTTTTCTATCCATTCGAAGTTCATTCACACACGTTATATCACTATGTCTTATAAATCTATCTAGAACACTCAAACAAGTTTCATGCCTAACAAAGGTTTGGTTCTTAAGATAGTACTTTTCATAGTACCATGTTGTCAAAGCATATATGATAGTTACTAACATCATGGATGCACACAAACGTTGTTTCTCTAACTCTATTGCAACTAGAGTTGTCACAATCTTCCTCTTTCACTTTCGATCCATGTCTATTCTGCCATTAACAATATTGGCAAGAACAAAATCATAATATGTGACTTTCTTTTTTATACTCAAACATAACCTAATTATCAGATTATATGATACAACACGCAAATGGAAATGCAAGGGCATTATGCATGACAGGACCTGCCCCGAATTCCTTGGAATCTGTGACAGATCCTGTAGTTTTTCCGACATCCTACCAATGTTGGGCCCACTTACTAGTTTCAAACATCCTCTTCCTCTAAAATGAAGGAAAAGATGGCCAAGACTTCTATCAAAATTTCGGCAGAGTCTCCCCTAAAATACGAACTTTACAAAAAATTTCAACCTATCAAAAATGCAGTTTAATAATCTCCAAACTTCAGCATGCACAAAGTACGTTACACACAACAAACAAATGGGCCTATGTTAAACCCCAACATGTAACGTAACAATAATCAAAGAAGACCTTAGAACAATACAAGCACAACTAAAATAGTTTATTTTGCGGCTGCACCTAGGTTAAACCCCAAGCTACCTACGAACCCCTTTGTGAGGGATCAAGCCACACATAGTTCTTAAGTCAACAATCACGATTAAGATAATATATGATTATTTAAAGTAACACTAACGATTAAATTTAGATTCATTTACAACATCAAATTTGACAAGGCACACACTAAACACTTTACAAGTTCCTTTCATATTATCAGTTCTTTCCCACAACCATACCCTATCCAAGGCGTATATTGCCGAACAGCCTTTCAAAACCATAAATCAAATGTTCATGCCTGTGCAGAGTACTCACGAAGCAAAAGTTCAAGAATCTCAACCCGAAAATGAATCCACATATATATATATTTAATATGTATGTATATATATATACCTATAATTGTACACACCTCACACCATTATCATGTACCAGGGGAAAACAATCTAATCTGTGGATCGTTTGACTAGACCACATGGAGGAATCCTCAACAACCATGTGGATAGGGACGAGCCGTCCAACCGTGGTATTGGGCTCCTAGCACGCACATCAAAATCCTCAATACTCGTGCGCTTGTAACAAGTCTTACGCGCGCAAACTACCCATCTAATGGTCTATGAAACATCCCGTCAAGTGTGCCCGGGGTTCCGATCATATCCAAACCATAACCACAGTTTCCAAGTATCCATTATCCATCAATTCCAGTATCAGTATCCAAGGGGGTGGTGGGGGTGGTACATGAAATGGCGTGTCATCGCCAAGATCCAAAATCCACTTTCATAAACTAATATTTAATAAAGATAAAATTCTCAAAATCCAATTTCCAAAAACAAATAGTTTCCATATAACATAAATATATATATATATATATATAATAAAATAACACCCACACTTTCCTTTTGAAAACCATATTAAAACCATAATTAAGAAAACACCAAAACTAAATAAGCCCATTCGATTTTATTAATATTCAAAACACTATTCATATACTTAGGAAATATACAACCTCTGAAAATCCCATAAGACAAGATAATAAAATTCAAAACCCATATTTAAAATTCCCAAAACCATAGCCCATCAATATATACATACCAATTCTAAAATTCTCAAAGATATACAAATTCAAGTTCGATAACCACATAAACTAATACACCAAAACCGAAATCCATATCATACCCAAAGTCACCAAAATCCTTTATAAATAATATTCATAGCACTAGTAATAATAGTAATAATAATAAGCATTCCCGAAGTTCCCATAATCACGTATTTCATCCTAAAAACTCACTAGTTTAAATTAGATCACCCATAACTTTCAACTTCTGTTCTCAAATTAATTCCACTTACGTATAATATACCATTCAGCAAACCAGAATTCATAACCCTTATTATTCACTTTCCAACACAACCTTTTAAAATCCATATCAATATCCAATGTACCCATAACCCAAACACATAGACATATATTTGAGTGTAAACATATAATCGACATTTAATTAGATCCTTACTGACACCAAACCTCTCTATCAAACCATAAGTGAATTATAATAACAATCATCAAAATAAAATGATAATAATAATAGTAATAATAACAATATATGTATATAAACGAAAAGTCTCGTGTCACATGGTTGTTCACCCGTTTTATGTTTACTCTTGAGATGGAAGGGCAAAGTTCACCACTACCTCGGAAACCATTGATTGGTCAACAAGTCAGCTTTCTTTGGTGTATGAGCGTGCCACTGCTAGCAATGAAGATTCTAGCAGACTTCCTCTAGAATAGATAACTTGCGCTCCAAGTTACTGATTTCTAAAACAAACGATTGTGAATTTGCGTGAGGAATATCTCCCAAGTAAGTTCTTTTCATGCCTTAGACTGGTGAGGACTTTCATAATTTATCTCAGTATAAAAACGATTGTTCTGGCCCGAATGATTGATAGAAATTGGACTGTTTTAGGCAGAACTGCCATTCACAAAACCATAAATGTACATATCAACGCTAGAAAGATCAAAAGACAATTGGAACTCCATTTCTGCCTAGATAGAAGGCTCTGATCCGGGCTGGACTGAACTGTCAAAAACTTCAACTGCTAAGCTTTTGTTGTGAATCTTTACCAAAGTTCAATTTCGGCAGAGCTTTAATCTACTTCGAGCTTTGTGAGGCTTTTGAGTGGGCAGAACCGCGGCTTCTTCAGTCTGAAGGGGCAGAAGTGGCTGTTCTTGAGGACTCAGTGTGCTAAGGACTGCACTGTGAAATTTGTTGAGGTTTTCATATATGGGAAAAACTCAAACTCTGCCTGTCTTGGCTTTTGCTGAACCAAATTTGTAACGAGAGAGATCTCATTTTAAATGACTTATTTTCTAAGTCTAAACTTTGGAAATTTTGATCTAAAGCTGGTTTCTCTTGGAGTTCAAGTGAGCTTTTTGGTTGATTTTGTTTGTTTGATTGATGAATCGAGTGTGTAAAATTGATTGTGTTTTGCCCTGTTCACTCCCTCTTGTTTATATAAGAAATGCTTTAGAGTAGGGTTTCTTTCTTTTAAATAATGGGCGGTAATTTCCAAAAAAAAGATCTTTCATTTTTCAAATGTAAAGAAAGGGGGTTTTATCAATTCTAGCAAATGGGCTCTCAATAGTCAGTTTAGAGGCAATCACTTCCCTGTTTTTCTTGAAAGAGAACCTAATCCTTCTTAAATTCCAACTGCCCCTTTGTGAGAACTCAAACCGTGATGGTTAGTTTGATTCCCCTTTTGAACAGCTCCTTGTTTCCTGCTTATCTCTTTCTGAGATTGAAGTTTGCTTATCTCTTGAAAGATGGTCCCTTTTTCTAGAGTGAAATCAATATTCCTAAATATTAAAAAAAAGATTTTGATCTTCTGATGGTAGAGATCCAGAGATGTCTCTTCCTAGCTGTTTGCTTTTGTTAACCCCATTTGAAAATATTGACTTTTCTAAGTCAGAAACGTCACGTGGGTCTGCTCCCCTTTTAATTGTGCCAAGCCTAGGTTTGAGCCCTGGGCTAATTTCTCTTTCTGTTTTCTTGAGGCCCAAGTTTTGTTACGTCTTTGATAGATTTCAGACTTGGTTCTTTATGGATTATGGGCCTTTGATTCTTATTTTGTTCAAACCAGATTCTGGACCCTGTGCCCTTTTTTACTTTGGGCTCCTTTAGTGTTGGGTTGGGTGCGCCAGATTTTGGCCCAAACAATGCCCCCTTGAATCTGAATTGTTTTTTGGCCAGATTTTGGCCCAAACGATGCCCCCTTGAATCTGAATTGTTTTTTGAAAAAACGTTTCTTTTTCCACTCTCAACGGTTCAAATTGAATCAATTTGGCCATTAATGTTGCGCGCCATTCTCTTCTGTTTCGATCACCATGTGTGCCACGTCTTGTCTCTTGAACTAGACTTCGTGGGAAACTGGGTGGTTACTAGCTAGTTATTAGCTAGCCATTATGATGGTGCTTTGTCTTCTCCTTCCCATGATTTCGAGTTTATTTTAAAAGAATTTTAGCATCCTAGCTTTTGTTCACTTCAAAAACCTAGCTTCCTCAGTGTTTTGAATTTCCTAGTTTTCCTCAGAATTTTCGCTTTTCTCTTCTACCCAATCTTCCCCTATTTTATTTTGATTCTTCTTACTCCAGCTAAACCTTTGAAAATGTCTTCTCCAAATAGTTGGGCTAAGAGTTCCTCCTCAGTTCCTCCTAATTAGATCACTGGGGCTGGGGTTGATAAACATGCGATAGAGGTCAGAAGCAAGCTCCATCCCTTTGCCAAGAAGAACCTAGATGAAAACGTCCTCCATTTGTTCGAGAATACTCTGGTTTTAGGTCCACATTGGTTTGGTTCTGTTCCTTCTGAGATGACAGACCTATTCAAAGATGATGCTAAAACTCCCCTGTGTTTTGAAAGTTCTTCTGCCTTGGCTTCTCATTTCCATCCAGTGAAGTGAGAAATAGTCCAGTGAAATGGGAAGACTGGATTGATAGGCTCCTTCCAAAATATGGAACTCATTGGAAGCGGGCTGGTATCTATGATGCCATACTTTTGTCCAAGCAATCTGTCAATAGAGATGAGAACCTTCTTGCTGCTGCCTTGTGTTTTTGGAATTCTGCCAGCAATACCTTTGATTTTCGCGTAGGCCCCATGGCTCTAACTCTGCTGGACATGGCTCAGATTTTTGGGTTCAGGCCCCATGGAAGACCTATTGATGCTGTTGGTGATTATCATAGGAGGAAGAACCAACAGAAACTAGCCAAGCCATTCACCATCTCTCCAGCCCTTATTAACCAAAACTGCTCATTCTCCAATTACCTGAGGAAATTCAATGCTGAGAAGGACAAGGACCAGCAGCACATGTTATTCCTTCTGTATTGGTTGAACAAGTTCATTCTCCCCAACTGCTCCTCAGCAGTTCTGCTTGAGTACAGACACCTGGCAGAAGCCCTGTACAACCATACAGTTCTGGCTCATTTATTCAAGAACCTGCACACTGCCACCCTAGAGAATCCGTTGAACCTGTCTGCTCCTGGTGCATTCTGGATGATCTAGATCTGGTTGCAAGTCTTCCCAGAATTGAGGTTCCCAGACATAGTTCTGCCTGAAGATCAAGTTCTGGCTCAGCCTCTGATGTTGGCAGAAGTGCCCAAGCGCTCCCTTGAAGAGTATCTGATGTTCTTCCGGCACTGCACTAAAAGATCAGCAGCTCAGTGGCAGTTGGTGATCAGAAGGACCTATCCTTGGTTCCAGCCTGGATACCGTTTGTTCGAGAAAGAGCCGGAAGAAAAAGAAGCCATAATTGATTTTAGGAAGAAGTCCCATGGAGGTGGGAAGCCTCCCAATTATCATCTGGGGGCAGAAGTGTATCACCCCAACTTTTGTGCAAGGCAGCTTGGCTGCCCACAGCTCATTCCACTCAAATCCTATAGGAGCTGCAATCGGGCTTCTTCCTGGAGGGATTTAGATGATTTGGAGGTGCACAAGGATGCCAGGTGCGCGGTGAACAAGATCAACAATAGTGCAGATGCCCTCTATCCGTCCTGGGAGTCCAATTCCTGCAGTTCTGCCGATTTCGACGCTTGGTGGAAGGCTCGATTTCGAAATCTGCCTGCTTCCAGCACTGCACTGGTAGTGCTCTTTCATGGTTGGGATGGCTGGGCAATTCACACAGGAGAGGAGACTCATAAATTTATGGTGTAGACCATAAAGGACATCAATGCCCAAGTTCTGGGAGGTAGTGTCTCAATTCTGTCTGTTCTGCTTATTTTGTTTTTGTAGTGGTGATATCTAATACTTTGTTCTGTCTGCAACAGATCCCTCTGTGACACAGAACGTTGGTGGACAATTTGCCCAGGCTGGAGAAGTATTTGGTGAATTTTCTACCCTTCTGTTGCCTCTACCTTTTCCTGCTGGATTGGCTTCTGACATTGTCATTTCCTGTGTAGTTACTTTTGTCATTTCCGTTGGGGACCTGGAGCTTCCTTCTGGAGAGGAGGAGGATGAAATCCTGGCAGAACAACTAGTTGTTGAGGCTACTCCTTCTGCCAGAAAGAAAAGGAAAGAAACTGCTCCTCCCCAGGACAACATTGTGTAGCCTGAAACTTCTGGTAAGATTCTGACAATTTTGAGCTTGTGATAATTCTGTTATGTCCATTTTGCTCTTTTTCACTTATGTTCTAATGGTTTGTTCTGTGCAGCTGAAAGTCCTCCTCCCCTTTCTAGGTCAAAACGACCTAAAAAGAGGGCTGTGGTGTAGTATGTGGCCTTGGAGGGAACTGAGGCGGTTCCTGCCACCACTTCTGGCACAGATGATGAGTTGAGAGAGGCCTTTGAGGTAGTGGAGCAGGAGAAGGAGTTAGAAGCATTAGAAGAGGTCGGAGAGGGACCTCAAGAAAAACCAAAGATAGTAGAAGAAGAAGTGAGCCTTTTGGTCTTCTATCCATTTTTGTCTTTTATTTCTTTCATTTCCTAACTTCTGTCTGTCTGTCTTGCAGGAGGAGATTCCTGCTGAAGTGATTGCAGAGAGCATCGCTTTGGCATAGAAGCAGCATGGGAAGACGGGGGCGGAGCTGACTAGCTCAGAATTGGCCTTTTTTGAAGATGTAGAGGCAGAACATTCTACTGCCGTCCCAGCTACTGAGGAGCAAGCAGAGCAGTCTACATCAGAGCCTGTGGAGCAGGCAGAACAAATGGTTGCAGTTCAAGAAGCTGAAGTGGGAACAACTGCTGCTATTCCTGCGGTTGTGGTAATTTTCTCTTTATTCTGTCCACATTTTTCTGCAATTCTGCTCTGTTCTGCCTCTTTAACTGTTGTAGTCCTTCTAGGTAGAAGTGCCCAGACCTGTTAGTACCTTGACAGTGGTGACCAACCCCCTGAAGCCCCCAATTATTGCTGTAAGTGTTCATTATATTTTTTTAGGCCTTTTCCTTTATGTTTCTGCCTGATTCTGACTCATGCTCTCTTTTGCATATGCCCATCCATTCCCTTCCAGGTTCATCTACCACGGCCTCCTTTGCTGATCCATAACTGGTAGAGTTTGAGGCCATGGACCTAGACGCCCAGCTGGACAAATTGGAGAAACTCAACTCCCCTCCAGGCAAGGCAAAATCTAAGGCAGTGGAGGAGGCTATGGAGAGACTGAAGATCTGGTAGTCTACTGAGCTGGAGCTGGGTGAGGAAAGGGAAGCCATTGACCAGCTGATGAAAGATCTGGACCTACTACATAGACAGAACATGGCCCCCAAACCCATACTTGAGATGAGTCTTGGCCTTGCAAGGGATGTGCTCAACCTCCATGATCGTTATGAGGATCTCAAGCCCACCTTTAAGACTTCTGAGTTTTGCAAGGCCACTCATGAAACCAACTTGGCTGATTTTGCAAAGCAGAAGGTAGAACTGGACTAGATGGTGGCAGGATACAAGGAAGCTAAGGCCACTGCAGACAAGCTGGAGAAATAGATTGAGAAGCTGCAGAAGCAATTGGTAGAATGCAGGGAGGTGCAGAATAGGCTCGGGGCTGGACTGAGCTCCAAGACCAAGGCTACCTTCCTTGTGCAGAGCATGGTTGCAACTTCCAGACCAGCTTTGGAAATTGCAGAGGCTTCAATCCACCAGGGGGTGCTGCTTCAGAAGGAACTCTCCATCAAGAAAGTGAACTTGCAAGAAACCCTTAGGAAGTTAGGGTTTTGAATTTTATTATTTATTTATTTTTTTAGTTTTGGCTTTATGATGAACAATTTGCCATGAGGATGACTATTTTTTAAAAAAAATAAAAGCTTATTTATTTGTTGCATTTCTCGGATCTTTAAACTCCTTTTGATGAAATAAACAAAAGTAGAAAAGGGACAATAAACTTTAATTAAAGTAAACACAAATTCTGAACAAAACTTCAGATAAACAGTTTCAATCTTGTTCGTTCTCTATCCTAGGATCTGTTTGTACAACCTGTGAATCCCACATAGTTGGGTAGAATTTCTTCAACCATTTGCCATTAATCGGGCCAGCATGAACAACTCCGTCTTGGTCCTGTAATCTGTATGCCCCCATTCCAAGGATCTAATTAATTACGAAAGGACCCTCCCATGTAGGTAACCATTTTCCATAACAAGCTATATGTGTTCCAAGGGGCAGAACTGCTTTCTAGACTATCTCTCCTTCTTCAAAACTCTTGTTCTTGACTATTTTGTTGTAGGCCCTTGACACAGCCTGTTTTCCTGCTAAGAGTTTGTTGAGGGTATCAATTCTGCTTGCATCCAATCCTTCTAATTCTAGCAGCATGGCTTGAGAGTAACCAGATTGTGTTGATGAGCAATTCTGAGAGACTGGACTGCTATCTTCATAGGCAGAATTGCATCATGGCCATAGGTTAGAGCATAGGGGGTCATGCCAGTTGCTTCCCTTTTTGAAGTTCTATAGGCCCACAGAGTTTCTGATAGCTTCTCATGCCATTGTCTTGGATTTTTCTCGAACATTTTTATGATAATGTTGATGATCACCTAGTTACTTGATTCTGCCTGTCCATTGGCTTGAGCATAATAAGGAGTGGATTGAAGCAGCAACTTGAATTTGAATGCTTCTGCCATATCTAGCATCTCTCCAGATATTAAAGAAGATCCTCTGTCAGTTGTGATTTATTCTGGAATGCAAAACCTCTGTATAATCTGTTCTTCTATGAAGGTGATGATCTCTTGAGATGTAGTGGTTTTAACAGGTTTGGCTTCCACCCATTTGGTGAAGTAGTCTGTAGCAACAATAATAAAACAGTGTTGCTTGGTGCTGGCTGGGTAAATCTTGCCAATAAGATCCATTGCCCATCCTCTGAAAGGCCATGGCTTTACCACTGGATTCATGGGAACTAAGGGGGCCTGCTGGATTGGGCCGTGCCTTTGACTAGCCTCACACCCTTTGGCATAGTCAATGCAATCTTTCATCATGGTTGGCCAGAAGTAACCATATCTCCTGATTAACCAGCACATGTTTCTTCCTCCTTGGTGGGCTCCACAAATCCCTTCATGAGTCTCTCCCATGACTTTCATGTATTCTTTCCTTCCGAGGCACCTTAATTTACCTCATCCTTGCTTTTTCGGACCAAATCTCCATTCTACATAAGGTAGTTCATAGCCATGATTCTGACTCTCTTTTTAGAGGGCAGAGTTGGATATTGTAAGTAAGCTATGATAGGATTTCTCCAATCATCTTCAGTGATTATGGTAGAATTGACATCTATCTCCATCCCTCTGGTCAGAACAGATGGTAGACTTTTCTTTTCTACCTTGATGATCCTCTGTACACAGTCTTCAGGCATTTGTATGCCTGTTGCTACCTGAGCCAGCTCATTGGCTGCGAAGTTTTCTTCTCTTGGGATATGCTCCCAAGTAGCTTCTCTGAATTATATTAGAAGATTCTTAGCTTCTACTAAGTAGACAGCTAGAGAAGGACTTAGGCACTTGTATTCTCCAGCAATCTGTTTTAGCACAACTATAAAATCTCCCAAAATTTCCACAGACTGGATTCCTAATTCCACCAGCATTTCTAGGCCAATGATTAGAGCCTCATATTCTGCCATATTGTTGGTGCACTGGAAGTCTAACTGGAAAGAATAACAGTGTCTGATTTTGAGTGGTTCCTCCAAAACAATTCCTGCCCCAGAAGCCATGTCAGTCTTTGATCCATCAAAATATAGCTTCCAAGGTGTGAGGTGAACTGAATAGATAGGATTGTTCAGGCAGGTATGAGCTCTTGTCAACAGATCTGCATTTGCTATATCCAAAGAGTCCATGTTTTCAATTTCTTCCCCTGGATGGTCTGCTAGGAAGTCTGCTACAGCTTGTCCCTTGACAGCTTTCTAGGGAACATATCTGAAGGCAAATTTTGTCAAGGCCAGAGTCCATTTTCCTATTCTGCCTCTCAGCATTGGTCTTGTTAGCATGTATTTGATTAAATCTGTCTTGGCAATGATGTAGATGGTATATGGCAACATGTAGTGCCTGAGCTTTACTGCAGTGAAGTATAAGGCTAGGTAAAGTCTTTCAATTGCAGAATATTTTCTCTCTACTTCTGTCAGAGTTCTGCTCAGATAATAGATTGCATGTTCCTTCCCTTCCTTGTTATCTTGGACTAACAGACTCCCAATGGACACTTCTGATGCAGACACATAGAGCTTGAGTGGTCTGCCTATCTTTGGTGGGGACAGAACTGGTGGATTTGAGAGGTAACGCTTGATTTCCTCAAAAGCTTGTTGGTGCTATTCTTCCCACTTGAAGTTTTGTTCCTGTTTCAATCTCAACAAAGAGGAGAAAGGCTGGATCTTTCCTACAGAATTGGATATGAATCTCCTTAGAAAATTAATTTTTCCTAGGAGACTCTGTAGTTCCTTCTTGTTCTGAGGTGGCAGGGCTTCTATGATGGATTTTGCTTTGTTCTTGTCAATCTCTATGCCTCTCTGGTGGACCAAGAATCCTAAGAAATTTCTTGCTTGAACCCCAAAAGCACACTTCTTGGGGTTCATTTTTAGTTTATGTTGCCTCATTCTTAGGAATGCCTTTCTCAGATTTGATACATGATTTCCCTCATCTGGGGATTTAATCACCACATCATCTATATATACTTCCAGAGAATGCCATATCATGTTATGGAAAACAGAATTCATTGCTCTTTGATAAGTGGCTCATGCATTTCTTAAACCAAAAGGCATTACAGCATATTCAAAAGCACCTATATGTCCTGGGCACATGAAAGCTGTCTTGTGGATGTCTTCTTCTGCCACCATAATCTGATTGTAACCTGCATTGCCATCCATGAAAGATAGCATCTGGTTATGAGCAGCTCCATCTACTAGCATGTCTGCCATTGGCATGGGGTATTCATCATTAAGATTTCTGTAATCCACACAGATTCTAACTGCCCTTGTTTTTCTTTTGAGAACCGGTACAATATTGGCTAGCCAATCAGCATAGATGGCTAGTATGATGAATCCTGCCTTGAGCAACCTTTCTATTTCTTCTTTGACCTTCAGTTATGTGTCCATAGACATTCTTCTTCTAGCCTGTTTAACTGGAAGGTAACCCTCTTTGATAGGCAGCTTGTGTTCTACTAGTTTTCTGTCCAATCCAGGCATCTCATGGTAATGCCAAGCAAAACAATGTCTGAACTCGTGCAAAAGTGCAATGAGTTCACTCTTAAGTGGTTCTTTCAACAGTGCGCTAATGAAAGTAGGTCTTGGATCTTCTTCTGTCCTTAAGTTTATTTCCTGCAAAGGATCTTCCACTTCTGGCAGAGAATCATCGAGTGCTGCTGGTGCAAAATCTAATACTTCCTCTTGCAAACTCTCTTCCTCTTGATCTTCCATGCTTTCATGGGTGAATTCTGCCATATTGATGCTGGATTCTGCATGAAGAGCCTTCTTTCCTCCCAATACATCAACAATCTTTTTGTAATGGATCGGATTGTTGCAGCTCGATCATTTTCTTGTTGATTGGGACTAAACATCAGAGTTCTGGAGGTTTAGAGCAAAAGGTCTATTCCAGTCCTCTAAGGAACTGGCTAGACCATCTTCAATGAGTCTTTGGGCCGTGACACCATGGGGGCGGCTGTTCTAGTTGACTCCAAGGAAAGTGAAAGGACCAAGGTCATCATGGTAATACCTTGCCTTAAAACACATGGCAGAAGGCAGAAATGGCCATGGATCGACCTCTACTATCTCCATGTAACCCTCTTTATTCCACAGAGCTAACTGCTGATGGAGAGTGGAAGGAACACATAGACTCTGGTGAATCCAGTCCCTACCAAGCAATGCATTATAAGTGGTAGAAGTAGGCAGCAAGTCATCTTCAGCAGAAATTGGCACAATCAACCTGGACAAATGATCAGCCACAACATTTTCACTACCCTTCTTATCCCTGATTTCTAAGTCAAACTCTTGCAGTAAAAGAATCCAACGAATTAATCGAGGCTTAGCGTCTTTCTTCGACAACAAATACTTCAAAGCTGCATGATCTGTGTAAACAATCACCTTAGCCCCAACTAAGTAAGACCGAAATTTTTCTAATGCAAAAACAACTGCCAACAACTCCTTCTCTGTGGTCGCATAGTTTAGCTGTGCGTCATTGAGAGTTCGACTAGCATAATGAATGACTTGGGGAAGCTTATCTTTCCGCTGTCCAAGAACCGCTCCTACTGCGTAATCTGAAGCATCACACATCAATTCGAAAGGTAAACTCCAATTAGGTGCTGCAATAATGGGTGCTGTAGTGAGGAGTGTCTTTAACTTGTTGAAAGCCTCCAAACAAGCATCATCAAAGACAAAAGGAGCATCCTTAGCCAACAAATTACACAATGGTCGGCTAATCTTGGAGAAATCCTTGATAAACCGTCTGTAAAACCCAGCATGACCAAGAAAAGATCGAACACTTTTAACAGCTGTCGGTGGTGGCAGCTTTGCAATTACATCAATTTTGGCCTTATCAACCTCAATACCCCTGTTAGAAATCAAGTGGCCTAGGACAATCCCCTGCTTAACCATGAAATGACACTTTTCCCAATTTAAAACAAGGTTTGTCTTAATGCATCTGTCAAGAACTAAGGATAAATTGTTCAAACATTCATCAAAAGAATCCCCAAAAACAGAAAAGTCATCCATAAACACTTCAACTACCTGTTCAACCAATCCGGAAAATATGCTCATCATGCATCGTTGAAACGTTGCAGGAGCATTGCACAAACCAAAGGGCATTCTTCGATATGCAAAAGTCCCAAAAGGACATGTAAAGGTTGTCTTCTCTTGATCTTCAGGTGCAACTGGAATCTGGTTGTACCCTGAATATCCATCCAAGAAACAATAGAACGCACGACCAGCCAACCTTTCCAACATTTGATCAGTGAAAGGCAATGGAAAATGATCCTTTCTAGTGCCCGTATTGATCTTTCTGTAATCAACACACATACGCCACCCAGTAGTCAAACGTGTAGGCACAAGTTCATTATTGTCATTCTTCACAACTGTAATTCCAGAACGCTTGGGCACCACTTGAGTTGCACTAACCCACTTACTATCTGAAATGGGATAGATCATCCCAGCATCTAGAAGCTTCATAACCTCAGTACGAACAACTTCTTTCATAATTGGATTCAAACGACGTTGAGCATCAATGGTGGGCTTTACTCCATCTTCCATCAGAATTCGGTGCATGCAAATTGTAGGGCTGATCCCTTTAATGTCTGCTATAGTCCAACCGATTGCATCTTGATAATTTCTTAAAATACGCAGCAATTTTTCTTCTTCTGTTGATGATAAGTCAGCAGCTATAATAACTGGCAGCGAAGAATTTGCACCTAGATAAGCGTATTTCAAGTGTCCTGGCAGTACTTTTAAGTCCAGTTTAGGTGGCTGTACTTTAGAGGGCTGCAATGGTTTTTTCGGTTCCCCTAAACTCTCAAAAACGTGCCTCCAACGGGGGTGTAGAAAAGGAACACTTTCCAAAGCTGAAACATACTCAAAAACCTCTTCATCTTCAGTGTTTTTATTCTCCAACCCATGCAACACCTTTAACAATGGATCTGATGTCAAACGGGGCATAATTTCAGCATGCATTAAGCTGTCTAACATGTCAACACGCATACAATCTTGCACATCAGTTGGCCTTTTGGTTATTTCGAATAAACTGAAAACAACGGACTGATCTTGCACTCTAAGTGTAAGTGTTCCAGCCTCAACATCAATTAAGGTTCGAGCAGTAGCCATGAATGGACGCCCCAAAATAATCGGTGTTTGCATATCTTCATCCATATCCAAGACCACAAAATCTGCAGGAAGGTAGAGATTATCCACTTTAATAATGAGGTCTTCAATAATTCCCCTAGGGTAAGCAACTGAACGGTCCGCCAGTTGTAGAATAACTGATGTAGGCTTGATTTCTCCTTGTCCTAGTCTCTGAAAAACAGAAAAAGGCATTAAATTAATACTGGCACCCAAATCAATTAAAGCACGTTTAAAATTAGAATTTCCAATTGTGCATGAAATTGTAAAACTCCCTGGGTCTTGTTTCTTTGGAGGCAGTTTGTGTAATAAAACTGCGCTGCACTGTTCTGTAAGAATAACTTTTTCAAAATCCACGAGCTTCTTTTTCTTTGTGCAAACATCCTTTAAAAACTTGGCATAAGATGGAATGTTCTTAATTGCATCAATCAATGGGAGATTGATCTGAACTTTGGCCAACGTCTTCATAAAATCTGTCAACTGTTGATCTTTAACTTTGGGCTTCAACCTTTCGGGATAAGGCATTGGAGGCACATAAACACGTTCTGCAGTTTCTGCAGCAATTTTTGCACTGTTTTCAGATCTGCCCATAGACTCTGTAGAATCTGTAACAATATCAGATTCTGCAAAATTTCCTGAATCTGTTTGTGGCTGTGATGCTGCCTGCGAATTTCCAACACAAATTTCACCTCTATTGTCATAACTTTTACCCGAACGTAGAACTCGAACTGCCTTACAATCTGCGCCTCCCCTTGGATTATTTTCCGTTTGGCTAGGAAATGTACCTGGTGCTCTTTCTGAAACTTGGAATGCAATCTGCCCCATTTGTTTTTCTATGTTTTTCACTGTTGCCTGCAGATTTTGGAATTCTTGACTGGTGGCATTTGCTAATTTTTCAATTGCAACCTCCCAAGCAGCCTTAGGCGCAGCAGTTTGCTGTACCTGTTGTTGAAATTGTGGCCTTGCAGGTTGATCTCTGTCCCACTTAAAATTAGGATGATCTCTCCAACCCGGGTTGTAAACATTTGAATACGGGTCATATCGTGGACGCTGAAAGTTATTAAATGCATTAACTTGTTCCGCTGCAAATTCCGGATAAGCATCTTTATGCGGACAGCTCAAAAAATCATGGGTTGTCACATTGCAAATGCTACAGGCAGCTGGTAAAGGTTGCTGTACAGCAACCTGTGAACCCGGAATTCTTTGTAATAACATGTCAAATTTTGCATCAAATCTTTCAAGCTTTTTCTCCATTTTTTCAATTTGTGCCGACATATATGGAGAACCATTGGATATCTCAAAAACAGACCTTGATTGTGGCTGCTCAACTGCCCATTGCTGTGTATCTGCTGCCATTTTTTCAAATAATAAACAAGCCTCTTGTGCATTTTTATCCTTGTATGATCCTCCGCATGAAGCGTTGACAAGAGTTTTGGTTGTCATATTTAACCCTCTGAAAAATATATGCACTTGATCCGTACTGCTAATACTAGAATGTGGACATTTTCTATTCAACTCTTTAAACCGTTCCCACGCCTCATGAAACTCTTCATTTGGTTTTTGGGCAAAAGATAAAATTTGAGTTCTCATGTCGAGAGTCTTTGAAGCTGGATAATATTTGTTTAAGAATTTTTCACTGAGTTGGTTCCAAGTGCTAATGCTTCCAGATGGAAGTGTGAGGAGCCATCTCCTTGCTTGATCTTTCAATGTGTAAGGAAATAGACGAAGCTTAATAGATTCAGCTGAGAATCCTTTCACCAAAATATTCTTGCATCCCATTAAAAATTCTGCAATGTGCATGTTAGGATCATCGGTTGATAACCCATGAAATGTAGGTAGAATACTCAACATGTGATGCTTGATTTCGAATGTAGACCCTTCTTCCACTGCTGGATATGTAATGCAACCTGGTATGTTAGTGGCATGAGCTGTTAAAGAATTACCCAAAGGGTCACCAGCCTCTGGAATAACAAAAGCCATTGTTTTTGTACTGTGCAGGTCCTCAGAATATAAAGACTGCAGAAAAGTCCCTTGCAGTGAAGGAACCCGCAGCAAATTTTGCTCCCTGTGTCTCCTCCTTAAAGATTGCTCAGGTTCTGGATCAAACGGAAACAATTGCTGAACTGTTGAACGTGTGCTGACCATGCACAGATTGTAATCTGCACTGCCTTGCTGTGATCTGCAAAAATAAATAAAAACGAAAATTATTTTTTTTTTTTTTTTTTTTGGTATGTATGTACAGCAATAATTAATGCAGAATCTGATTAGAACGAATTATTTTAAATAATCCCCGGCAACGGCGCCAATTTCTTGATAGGCTTTTTAGTACCTGCGCAAACAGGGTTAAAACTCCTACAAAACTTGCAAGAATGACAAGGTTATTGTAGTATAAATGATTCAAGCAAGGTCGTTCTCCGCAGGGATTATTAAATAACTCGTAGCAACCAAATTCTAATTAATTATTGCAAAAGAGAAAGTTGAGATGTTTGATTTGAAAACCTTAAATTAAAAGGAATTTAACTAATAAAAATAAGGCAATATGCAAAATTAAAGCTAAGAGCAAGAGAAACAGTTGTGTTTTTAGAAATCAAATTAAGAAAGCACTAGGGATCCGCCGTCACCTTAACAATTCTATATAGTTCCCCCAATTACTTATGACCTATACATGCATATTTCGAAGGTTAGGTATTCCTAATATATGCCTACTTGGACCCCCAACATAGAGCGTATATCATACATGCAATTCGTCTGTGGTATTCAGATCGAATCTAAACATACATGACTCATTAAGTTCTGTGAAACCTTTTGAAAAACCATGCAACCCTTAAGACGTGGTATTCATCCTAAGTGAACTTGCACATATTAATCACAAGAAGCCTTCGTCAATTTCAGGGACCGACCTCCGACCAAAACTGCATCAAATTACTTTTCTAAACATCCTAATGGTGATCAAGCATCAAGACACTTAGATAGTTTAACCCAGTGATGAATAATTCGAAAACCTGCATGCATATAATCATAAGCAAATTGGACAGAAACTACATATTCTTGCTAAGGTTCGTGGCCTCACCCTAGCAAAAGAGAGTTAGTTACGCATGTTCACAATTGAAATCCAAGAAAATATCATTAAGAAGAATAAGAATGCAAACACCTGAAAGTCGCGAAAATCCAAAACCCTAGCAATTGCTCCAAAAGCCAAAAAGAAGTAAAAAAAAAGGAGTTCTAAATTGCTGTGAAAAGGAGTTTAAATACCTCCTAAAACCTAGCTCCCCAATCCCCACAAGGAAACTAAGTTAAAATAAAATAATACTAGGAAATAAAGTCCAAATGGGATTAGGAGAATCTGCCAATAATCTGGTCAGCCACGTTTTGGCCTCAAATCTCCTCCAAATCTGGCCCAAGATAGCTCGTTTTAAAGATAAAAATATTCCGAACACTTCTCCAGAAGGCCACGAACCCATCCAAGGTCATCTTGGGCTCCAAAAACGCAATACAAGCCCAAAACGTCACTATTCCAGCACTGCACATCGCTCCTTCATTTATTCGCCAGGAAATCATCGCTTGGTGGAAAAGTCTGATATTTTGATACGATCAAGCTAAGTGGCTCACGAACGTCCTCCAACTAGAATTACTCCAAAATTCGTCCATTTGATTATGTTTTGCTCCAGAGGAAGTCGAAAGTCCTATATTGGAAATATAATTCAAAGTATCAAAATTCTTCCAAAATATTAACCAAAATATACTAAGAATGAGGCTAAATATATAATATAAAATCGACTCATCAGGTGTCTACCACAAAGAATGCAATTTTTAGTTTTTTGCTTCCAACTATGACATCTAGATCTAAGATCCCATAAGTTTTGGTGATGCCCCCAGCGAAGTTGGTGACGGTCAAGCGTGTTGGGATCAAATCCTTCTCTGTTCTGCCCATCTTGCTTAGCATTCTGTGAGGCAGAAGATTAATGGCTGCACCTCCATCTACCATGACCTTGGGAATGGGAACACCCCCAAAAATTTGCTGTTATAAACAAAGGTCTGAGGTGATTGGCCATCTCTTTGGTTGGCTTGGAGAAGCAAAGCTGCTTTGCAGCCAGTTTGTTGGTAGTTCCGCATGTTCTATGATTACCTGTTTGCTGTCCTGGTGCCTCCTTTGCTTCTGCCAACCTGCATTCAAAGCTTTCCTAGGAGAAAACATCTCTTTCCAAAGTGCTTTCTTGCCCTTCTACGGCCCTGAACTTCTCTGGCAGAATGAACACCATGTTAATGCCCAAATCACCCTGCAACAGGTCCTTTAACTCTGCACAAAAGGCTTCTGTTTCCACATCTAATTCTCTGTCATACTCCATCTGTTCTTCCCCATATTCCTCCGTCCAGTCTTCCTGTTCTCCTGTTCGAGGAGTTCATTCTGATCATCTGCAAATGGTTCATAGTCCAACTGCTCTTCTTCGTACTCTTCATTCCAGTTGTCTTTTTCTGGTAGTGGAATAGATTAAGATTCCTCTAGTGTTTGTGAATGCTCAAGATGATTGCCAGAGGATGAGGCTGGGTGGATAGGAGATCTGGCTGGAGATTCTGTCTTTACCAGCTTTTGCGGCTGGCAGGTTTTTTCGTTTTGTCTGAGGAAGTACCTCAGGGTTCTTCCCTTTTCTGACAGAACTGGTTTCCGGAAGTACCTGTGTATTACCCTAGTTTTTTAGAAATGTGCAATACTGCCTTTGGACCCTCCTATTCTGAGTTCTGGTGAACTCCAGAGTTGGTCTACCACTTTTTCCCACAAAGTACCAACTGCCTTCTATGATAGTTGCCAGGGGTTTTTCATTCCCGGGCATCTTAACTGGTATTTCCTTCTTGGGCTGCTCCATACTTCTCCTGCTGTACTAGGTAGGCCCAAGATAGTTCTTCTGGCTTGTTCTGTCTTGGGATGAGGTTCCAATCCTGTCAAAGACACTAGGTGTGGGCTGATTCTATCTGTTTATAACTACTTCTAGCTCAGTTTCACACTTGAACTTGCTGCAAAGCACTACCCCAGCCGAGATAGTTGTTCTTGGCCTTTGACTAGTTTCCCTTATGACTTTTCTGCCTCTGCTGGAGCTGGCTTCTGTCGTTGGTTTACTTCTCTTCTGTTCTGGCCAATTTAAGTTGACCATGTTGACTTGTGGCTAAGGAAAGGGATCTGTTATGACTGAAGGAGGTTTTTCTGCCAGTTTCAGCCTTCTTGTTGTTATTCATTATTGTATTACATCTCTGAAAACGACACAACTATTGGTAGAATGGTTCCAAGAGTTGTGCCACCTGTAATATTGCCTGCCCTTGAGTTCTCCGGCTTGGGGATCCTGTGGGGTGTTTCTATTGCTTTCTGTAGCAACATCTCATCAAATAAAACATCTACCTTGGTTAGATCAAAGGAATAAACCTTGTTTTGTGTTGGTTTGTTTGGAACAAATCCTCTTATGAATGGTGAGGGCTTTTGATCCTTTGGTGGCTTTGTAAGGGCCTTGCAGCTGATGAGATGTTTTAATTTTGCCATTTCTGCCACTACAATCTCTCTTTCCTCCGACTCCTCTGCTTCTTCTTCTGATTCTACCTCAACCAGGTGGACCGAAGAAGAATGGGTCTTGTAGTAGGTACCTTTGGAGGAGTTTCTCCTTTGTTATTCTTCCCTGAGCAGTTCCTCATATTTGGATGCTTTGTCAGCCAGTTCTGCCAGATCTCCAAACAGCATCCCGTCAAATTTTTTTCTTAGAGAGATTTTAAGGGCAGCCTGAGCCATCTGGATGAAGTGTCTTTCTTCCATAGGGATCCGACACTTCATTTTGAGCTTTCTGAACCTGGTTATGAAATCTTGAGCAGGTTCATCTTCACTCTGTTAGAGGGCAGCAAGATCACTAATGGTGACTTCTGGCTGAATCCTGTAATAATAGTCATGGAAAACACTTTCCATTTGCTCCCAAGCCTGAACAGAATTGGCTGGCAGACTGGTATACCAATTGAAAGCTTGTCCAGAAAGAGAATTCCAGAACAATCTTAACTTCAACAGAGGGTTATTCTCAATGGCTATGCACTGGACAGAGAACCTGCCTATGTGCTCAACTGATGAAGCATGGGGGTCCTCTCCGTTGAACAAGGTGAAGTTTGGCACCTTGAAACCTGAAGATAAAGGTATCTGATCAATATAAGTTGGATATGGCTTTCTATAGGTGGGCCTTTCTCCTCTCCTGGCCTCAAGTTCCATCATCTCTCTGATCATTATTTGTAATGCCCCCACATCATTCAAAGCATTGACAGGGGGAAGATTTCGTCCCTGTTCTGGTTGGGCGAAATCAATCCTAGGCTCCGCCCTATATGGCCTGGGCAGAGCTCCCTCCCTGTGTTCTTCCTGCTCTTCTAGGTTTGGATGATTCCTCCAGTTTGCCCCCGGCCTGTTCCTGTCATTGTTAGCAAAAGAGTTGTTTCCCCCTCTACCTCTTCTTCTTCTTGCAGGTGGAGGGAATGTATTGGGATCCATCCTTCTGGGTCTGTAAGGCAACACTGCTGGTGGCTCAGGCAGAAGTGCCAAAGGCTGATCATGTGGGGCCACGGGTTATGGAATAGGCTGAGGCTCTAGCTGGTTCTGCTGAATCTGAACTGGTGCAGGGCCTTATGGCCGAACTAGGGCCTCACGTTCTTGGACGGGAAGGGCTCCTCCCCTCTATCCAGTCTGGATTTCTCCATGCTCTGGTACCCCAGCTATCTGTGCAATGAGAGGATTCTCTTGGTATGACCATGCTAATCCTGGTAGGGGGCCATAAGAAAGGTCTAGATGCTGGACTACAGCATCCGAATTTGGAATTCCAGCCATGGCAGCCTCACGATCCTTCTTGAACTACCTGTTAACTTGCCATTGCATCATGGTTGTCATATTATTGAGAGTATCTTGGCTCCTTTGTATTGTCATCCCCTGTTAGAATACAGATTCCTGCATTTGATTCATCCTTCTGGAGCCGGTCCTGGAATGTCTGCTTCCTGTATTGCTGTGGGCTGATTGCCTGGCATCACTTTCTTCTGACTTTAGACCTTCCCTGAAAGCTACCTAGTTTATCTCCATAGCGTGGTGCGGGTTCTGGCTAGAGCTTCCAATATTCATAAACCTGAGAAGAATTCTGTTAGAGTATGTATACTGAGAAGTCCCTCTGGGCGTGCCAAATTGTTCACCCGTTTTGTGTTTACTCCTGAGATGGAAGGGCAAAGTTCCCCACTGCCTTGGAAACCATTACTAGAAACAAGTCAACTTTCTTTGGTGTATGAGCGTGCCACTGCTAGCAATGAAGATTCTAGCAGACTTCCTCTAGAATAGATAACTTGCGCCCCAAGTTACTGATTTCTAAAACAAACGATTGTGAATTTGGGTGAGGAATATCTCCCAAGTAAGTTCTTTTCATGCCTCAGACTGGTGAGGACTTTCATAATTTATTTCAGTATAAAAACGGTTGTTCTGGGCCGAATGATTGATAGAAATTGGACTGTTTTAGGCAGAACTGCCCTTTACAAAACCATAAATGTACATATCAACACTAGAAAGATCAAAAGACAATTGGAACTCCATTACTGCCTAGATAGAAGGCTCTGATCCGGGTTGGACTGAACTATCAAAAACTTCAACTGCTAAGCTTTTGTTGTCAATCGATACCAAAGTTCAATTTTGGCAGAGCTTTAATCTACTTCGAGCTTTGTGAGGCTTTTGAGTGGGCAGAACTGCAGCTTCTTCATTCTGAAGGGGCAGAAGTGGCTGTTCTTGAGGACTCAGTGTGCTAAGGACTGCACTATGAAATTTGTTAAGGTTTTCATATATAGGAAAAACTCAAACTATGCCTGTCTTGGCTTTTGCTGAACCAAATTTGTAACGAGAGAGATCTCATTTTAAATGACTTATTTTCTAAGTCTAAACTTTGGGAATTTTGATCTAAAGCTGGTTTCTCTTGGAGTTCAAGTGAGCTTTTTAGTTGATTTTGTTTGTTTGATTGATGAATCCCTAGCAGACTTCTTAAAAATGGATAACTTGCACCCCTAGCAGACTTCTTAAAAATGGATAACTTGCACCCCAAGTTACTGATTTCTAAACAAGCGATTGTGAATTTGGGTGAGGAATGTCTCCCAAGTAAGTTCTTTTCTTGCCTTAGACTGGTGAATACTTCACAATTTTTCACAATACAAGTGTAACACCCCAACTCCAAATTTATTCCTATTTTAATTAAATTAAGAGAATTATTAATTTACTCTTGGGTTAAGGGTAATTTTGGTCATTTTCTTATCCAGAAGGAGTTCGGGACCACGAGTGGTTTGGTTGCGTAGGTAGTACTGAGACGAAACCGTAGACAGGCGGTAGGCTTGAATCGGAGATTTAATGAAGTTTTGGAAATCAAAATAAGTTCGGTGGCGGAACCGTAATTATTTCAAAGTGAGTTTGGGGTAAAATCAGATTTTTCACATTTACCCCTCACTTTCTCTCTCTCTCTCTCTCCCGTGTCTCCTCCCTCTGCGTCAAACCCATTCCCGTCACTGTGCAAGCCGAACGGAAACCACCGTGCTGCCGCCGCCACAGTCCACCTCAACCCTCGAGACCGATCCCGTTCGACTCGTCGTGAAGACCCGATTAAGACCCACCCAATTTCCCTGCCGGAAAGCCGGAGAATCGTCGACGGTATCGACTGGTTCGAACCGGAAGTTTCCGATCGTTGCGCCGCCGCCTCCGCCGTCTGTTTCAGGTAAAGTTGGTGAGTTTTCTTCTCCTTTTTACGTATTCTAGCTGACTGTTGTTTAGGTTTGGATCGATTTTGAGGTTGGGAACCGAATTGGAAACCTAGGTTTTGGCCGGTTTTCAATTTGGAATTCCAGCCAGTTCCTGTGCGAATTGGACCTCGTGGTAGTTGAATAAAGTGATCCTGACCTTGAGAAGAAGCTAGGGTAGGAAGGGTGAGCGAGATTTTCCGTCGCCGGAAATTTCTCTACACACCCACGCGCTGCCGGCGCGTGTGGCGGCGCATGGGCAAGGCTGTTGAAGTTGCTTTTTATCCTGATGAGATCATTAGGTTGTCACGAGTGCATAGGATTTTACGGATCTCAATTTGGATGTCGTTTGACTATCGAACGGATTTCGCATATTGAGCGTTATTCGGGTTCGATAAGTTCTAACCGTCGGATCGTTTTCAAATTGAAGTATGTTGATTTAGGTACTCTTAGAATCCTATAGGAATTCGTGGATCGTGAATCGGAGCCCCGGATGTTCCGATTCAATAATTCGAAGTTTGTGGGATTAATGATAACCGTAGAATGGGAAGCGATTCCCAAACCTGTAAGGATATCCTATTGGACGTACACGCACCAGGATCTTGGGGATTTAAGTATTCTCTTTTGTGAATTCCCGTTTCGAAGTGTATTATATTAATCAAGGGTTCGTATCTCGAAATAGGTACTTCGGTCGATCATTCGCAGCAGGCAGGACCCTCTCGGGGCCGGGCAGCGTGGGATTACCTGTGAGTGGACTTTGTTTTCAAGCATTTGCATGGTTTTATTGATAAAAGATTTGTGCATATGTTTTAAATGGAAATGTGATTTATTAAGTATTTGGTTGATGACTTTGGATATTCATATACGTATTGGCAATATATTTTGAGTATGGCTATGTTTGAGCATTATGGATATGTTTATATGGATTGTGGGATGTCTATCTATATTGCCTATGTATGGAGTATGAGGAGTTGTTGTTATGAGATTGTGGAAAGATATGAGTTTGAGGGATGGTTGGGAGTTGTATGAGTATGTTAGGTGAGTACCATTCCCTGGTTACTAGGCTTCCCACACATGGCGTTGGCAGTGCCGGTGGGGTGGGAAGGCCATGAGATTGCTGGTCTCATACATGGCGTTGGCAGTGCCGGTGTATGGGAAGAGTATGTATATTGCTTAGTATCATCACACATGGCGTTGGCAGTGCCGGTGGGGTGATGATACTGTCTGCGCACGTAGGACTTGATATGAGATTTGTGAGCTACACGTGGCGTTGGCAGTGCCGGCGTGTGAGCTATGGAGTTCCGTCCCCTGGTTGGACTACTCATCCCTGGACGCGGGTTCATGTTCGAAAATCCTGCGTACCAGCCAACAATCCCCCGGTTGGATTGTCTTCCCCGGTACATTAGTATGGAGAGAAGTATATGTTATATTATAGATATATATACTTATATATGTATACATATGTATGGGTTGGTGAGAGTTGCATACTTGTGGGAATGGAGTTGTGGTTTGAGATTTTTGAGAGTTATTGGACTTTGAGATTTTATGTTTGAGTATTTGATTTATGGATGTGGAAACTGCATGCTTGAGCATTATTTTTACACGGTGGGGTTACTATGTTGTTTTAAATGCAAACTTTATTTTTGTCCATTCACATATTTCCGTTTTGCGCCCCCCAGGCAGTAGTGGCTTTTGGAAGCGCTCAAGCAAGTTGCGAGCTCCAAACATTTCATCTGTAGATAGGATTCGTGTAAATTCCTTCTACTCTACTGTTGTTGTAATCAAATTCTGTTAGATGCTCTGTTATCGCCCATGTTAGGTTGTTACTTGAGGCCGGAGGCCACTTTACTTTGAATTGTTGTATGTTGAAAGCATGCTGGCCGTTGGGAATTATATTATGTAAATTATGCAGGTTGAATGTTGTTGGGTTTGAGCATCTTACAGGGGAGACTCTGCCAAAATTTTGGTAGGATGTCTTGGGTTTTTAGTAAATGGGCCCGGCATCGGTGTGATGTCGGCAACAAAACGGGGTCCGCCCCGGTTTAAGGGGGAAATTCCGGGGCGGGTCCTGTCAACAAGACTGGTAATTCTGGCCAGAATGAATGATAAGAAAGTGAACTGTTTTCAGGCAGAACTCCCTTTTACGAAGCTCAAAAAGGAAAGACCAACCCTAAAAAGGACAAAAATGACGTTGGACTTCAATTTCTGCTTGGATAGATGCTTCTGATCTGGGCTAGACTAGGTATGTCTGTGCTGGATTGGACTATCAATACCTTCAACTGTCAAGTTTCAACTGTAAATCGATGCCAACGTTCGCGTTTGACAGAGCTTTAATCTATTTCAAGCCGTGGAAGGCTTTTTAAATGGGTAGAATTGGAACCTCTTCAGTCTGGAAGGGGCAGAAGTGGCTGGATTTGAAGATTACTGAGCTGGAACTGCACTATAGTACCTGTTCTGCTTGATCAGGGCTCTCCATAAATTTTTTGAGGTTTTCATACTTGTAAAAACCCCGACTCTGCTTGATTTGGCTTGTGCTGAACCAAATTTGTAACGAGAGAAATCTCGCTTTGTATGATTATTTCTTTGAACTGAACTGAAGTTAGAGATTCTGAATTATAGCTGATTTGTTTCTTGTGGCTCAATCAGCTTTGGTTGCTTTAGTGTTTGAAGGTTTTTGAGATCAATTGATCATTTTGAGTTTTTGTTTTTTGATTGATTTTTTGGTTGTCCTTCGATCTGTTCACCTCCTCTCATTTTTATAGAAAATGCTAGAGTGGGATTTCTAATCTTTTAATAATGGGCGGCACATTTTCTAAAAAGCAAGATCTTTTATTTTAAATGTCAAAGAATAGGGGAATTTATCTATTCTGTCAAAAAGCCATCAACTGGCAGTTCTTATGGTGATTACTTCTCTTTTTTGAAAGAAAACCTAATCCTTTTTTAACCCTTAACTGCTCCTTGTAAGAATTCAATCTGCCGCGATGGGTAGTTTGCTTTTTTTGATGAACAACTCCCTGCTCCCTACTTATCTCCTTAGAAAATGTAGTATGCTTATCCCTTGGAAATGGTTCCTGCTCTGGAGCATATTTTTTCTTTGTATATAGATAGGGATTTTGATCTTCTTCCTTGACTATAAAGACTGGAGAAGTCTTCCTGTAAAACTTGCTTTCATTAATTGTGATAGTCAGGTAGTCACGTGGGTTTTTGAGAATAGACTTTCCATTAATTGTGATAGTCATTAATTTTTCATTAATTGTTGAAATTTTTGACTTTTTCAAAGTTAGGTAGTCACGTGGGTTTTTTGAGAATAGACTTTCCAAAAAATCTGCCAACTTGCACTCTGGGTTTTGAGATCAATGGTGAGAATTTAGAAGCTAGGCCCAATCCCATTCTTTTTAGAATTTTATTGACCTGCTTGGTGATGTATTTTACCAATTTTAATTTGGTATTTTCATCGATATATTTGTTCTTTGTGCTCTTCTAACCTCCGCCAATTTGCAAAAAGACATGGACCTCTAATGTTGATTTAGGCTGCCCTCCCTATTTTCAAATCTCGATACTGTTTATTTATCATGGGTTTGATAAATTTTGAGCATTCTCCATTTTGGGCTACTTCTTCAGTTTCAAAAATGTCAAGCCCAAACTGTGCTCATGTTTTTGTGGGTTTCAAAAATGGGATGGACTTCGCATGATTTCAGGCCCAAACAATGCCCCCTAACTTTGAATCGTTTTGGAACGGCTTCAGACTTAATGATTGGCCATTAATTGGGCCCACCATTTCCTTCCGTTGCAACTAGCCCACGTCTGCCTATTCAACTAGGCTTCGTGTGTAAGTGGTCAGTTTCTAATGGCTAATTTATTATGAAAAAAGAAACTTGTTCCACTCTCCCCACGATCTTCCTCTTTATTGTATATAGCTTTCGAACCTCCATTACTGTTCATCAAAAACCTATCAGTTTTTAATTTCTCCAGAATTCCCTCTTTTTCTTTGGCTCTTTTCTTCAATTCTTCCCTTATTTTTTGATTTCGCAAATGTCTTCTCCAAACACTCGTGCCAAGGGTTCTTCTTCTTCACGATCTCCTGCTTATCTTACTAGAGATGGTGTTGACAACCACACAATAGAGGTCCGAAGCAAACTCTACCCCTTTGCCCGGCAGAGTTTAGATGAAAATGTCCTCCATTTGTTTGAGAATACCTTAGTTCTGGGCCCTCACTGGTTTGGCCATGTTCCTGAGGAAATGACACTTTTGTTCAAAGGTGACGCTGAAGCTCCTCTGTGCTTTCAGAGTTCTTCTGCCCTGGCTTCTCACACTTGGGTCAGCAAGAATTTGAATCACCCTTTTCCCTCCAGTGAAGTGGGCAGACTAGATTAACAGGCTCCTTCCAAGGTATGGAGCTCACTGGAAGATGGCTAGAATTTATAATGCTATGCTTTTGTCCAAGCAGTCTATAAACATAGACGAGAATTTTCTGACTGCTCCTTTGTGCTTCTGGAATTCTGCCAACAACACTTGACTTCCGCATGGGCCCAATGACTCCAACTCTGTTGGATATGGCTCAGATTTTTGGGTTCAGACCCCATGGAAGACTTGTGGATGCAGTTGGTGATTACCACAGGAGGAAGAATCAAGAAAAACTAGCGAAGCCTTTCACTATCTCTTTAGCCACAATCAACCAAAACTGTTCTTTCTCCAATTATTTGAAGAAATTCAGTGCTGAGAAGGACAAGGATCAGCAGCATATGTTGTTCCTTTTGTAATGGCTAAACAGATTCATTTTTCCCAACCATTCCTCAACAGTTCTACTCGAATATAGACATCTAGCATAAGCTTTGCACAATCATACAAATGTGGGCCTTGGTCCTACAGTTTTGGCTCACCTATACAAGAATTTGCATACTGCTACCTTGGAGAATCCAATGAACTTATCTACTTTTGGCACATTCTGGATGATCCAGATCTGGTTGCAAGCATACTTCCCAAAATTGAGATTTCCAGATGTTGTTCTGCCTGAAGATCAAGTTCTGGCGCTTCCTTTAATGTCAGCAGAAATGCCCAAGAGATTGATTGAAGAATATTTGATGTTCTTCAGGCACTGCACCAAGAGGTATGCTGCTCAATGGTAGGTGGTGCTCAGAAGGACCTATCCCTGGTTCCAGCCTGGATACAGGCTGTTTGAGAAGGAACCTAAAGAAGAAGAAGCCAAAATCGAGTTCAAGAAGAAATTCCTAAGTGTGACACTACCCTGGGATTTGCCTTTTGGAGGTGGGAAGCCTCCCAACTATTACTTGGGGGAAGAAGTGTACCACCCTAACTTATGTGCTAGGCAGCTTGGATGCCCTCAATTAATCCCACTCAAGATTTACAAAAGCTGCAATCGGGCCACTTCCTGGAGAGATTCAGATGATTTGTAGGTGCACAAGAACTGTAGGTGCTCGGTGAACAAGATAAACAATAGGGTGGAAGCTCTCTATCCATCTTAGGAGCCTAATTCCTGTAGTTCTGACGAGTTCGATGCTTGGTGGAAGGCCAGATTCCATAGTCTGCATGCTTCCAGTTCTGCCACCGAAGTGTTTTTTGATGGCTAGGACTGGCAGAAGCCAATCAATTCACAGTGCCTGAGTGAAATTCTGTTTGTTTGTGGTAGATCCTTCCATGACAAGGAATATTGGAGGTCAAGATGACCAAGCTGGGGGAGTGATTGGCAAGTTTCTAAGCTCTACCCCTTTGTTTTTTCTGTTTGGATTGCTTTCTAACTCTCTGTTTCCTGTGCAGTCACTTCTATTATAGCCGCTGGTGGCCTAGAACTTCCTTCCGGAGATGAAGGAGATTATCAAGAAACCTGGGCATAACCAACAATTGTCCAAGAAACTCCTTCTGCCAAAAGGAACAAGAGGAAAGAAACTGCCCAGGCTCAGGATAGTGCTGTCCAGCTAGAAACCTCAGTTAAATTTTGAGAATTTGACCTATCTGATTCTATTATGTGCTTTTGTTCTAATATTTTATCTTCTGTTCTCCGCAGCTGAAAGTCCCCCTCTCTCTCATACCAGGTCAAAAAGACTTAGGAAGAGAGCAGTGGTAGAATACGTGGCCACAGAATCTGTAGCAGCTCCTACAACCACTTCTGGGACAGATGAAGAGCTGAGCAAAAAAAAGAAGCAAATGTCTCGACATGAGGTAAATAAAAGGGCAAAGATGTTGAAGAAGAGGTGAGACTTTAATCTTGCTACATGGAACATGAATATTTGCGACTGTACTCCTTCTAACTTTGACTTTTGTCCATCTTTAGGAGGAGGTCCCTGCTGAGGTGATAGCAGAGAGTATTGTCTTGGCCCAACAACATCAAGAAACTCAAAGGGCAGAACCCATGATGTGGAGGCATAACATGCTGTTGCTGCCCCAGAGCTTGAAGTGGAGGTAGAACGTTCTGTTACTGTCCTTGCTCCCAGACCTATTCTTGAGCTCAGCTTGGGCCTCGCAAGAGATGTGCTTAATCTCCATAACCGTTATGAAGACCTTAAGCCCTCCTTCAAGGCCTCCGAATTCTGCAAGGCTACTCATGAAGCGAATCTAGTTGATTTCCAGAAACAGAAGGCAAATTGGACTAGATGGTTGCAAATTATAAGGAGACCAAGACTGCTGCTGACAAGTTGGAAAAATAAATTGAAGAACTTCAAAAACAACTGTTTGGCTTGAGGGATAGGCAGAACAAGCTTGGGGCTGGACTGGGTTCCAAGACCAAGGTGACTTTCCTCGTGCAGAATATGGTCTCAGCTTCTAGGCCAGCCCTGGAGATTCAAGAGGCCTCTCTCCATCAAGAGATGCTTCTCCAACAAAAAATTTCTACCAAGAAGAACGGGTTGCAAGAAACCCTTAGGAAACTAGGGCTTTAAATTTAAAATTTTGAATGTGAAAATAAATAAATCAGAAAATAAATAACACTTAAAATAAAGTAAACTACAATAAACCCCTCAACCTATATGGTCATTTACGAGTCCATACCCGATTTTGGGGACATTTATAGGTACATACTCAATGTCGCGGAAAACCTACAGATTGCCCCCTCCGTTAGCGAGATCGTCAGAAAATCCGTTATCTGCCTACGTGGCATTTGTGGGGCCCATTTTTAATTGACGCAGAGTTCCACGTGGACAAAAAAATAATAAAAAATTTATTCTTTGAATTATTTTAATAAATTAAACATATTAAATTAAAATTAAAATTTTAAAAACAAAAAAACAAAAAAACAAAAAAAACCATCCCTCTCTCTCTCTCTGATTCAAACCCGAACGCTTCGCAATCTAACAGTCTCAGGGATCAGTTTCAAGCTTCAATGGGGGCCTCGTTTCCCATCCATTTTTATCTCCGGGAAACCCTAATTTTTTTGTCCATACGAACCATTTTTTGTTAGGGATGCAAATCTGCGCTAGGGTTTTGGCATTTTATTACTGGGCAGCTCTTTTAAAGCTTATATAGTTAAAATTTCAATGTTCTGATTTCGATCTCATATGTTATAGCTATAAATGCGGCTTTAGCATTCATTTGGTTGCTCAGAAAATGGACGACAAAAGGAAACAATTAGCAATGATATTTTAAGAGTATCTGTTAGTTTTGAGTTTCAAAATTGAAACCTCTCCACAGGCTTAGTTTAGTGTGGTTTCATTTCATGGGCGTTCTAAATGATGAAAAAACCTTTTCATTTTTTTCCTACTGCATACAATTGGAGGAAATGGCTATTATGTCAGATTTGGGCTGTGTTTATCCTCCTCGTTGAGGTAGCCCACAACCTCTAGATCCAATTCTTCATGACCGTCGTATCGGGTCCGAATTTGAGACAGAGCACAAAGAGAGAGAGGAGATGGGATTAAGATTTAGGAACTAGGAGAAACCCTAATTGTGATTTTCTCAAGGGTATGGATTAGACAAAGGACGAGGCGCTGGGTTCGTGGATTCCGGGGAGGGGGGGGCTAGGTTGCTACAAGGTTGTGTTCGTGATTCTGAAGATAATGGTTGGAGATGGGGATGAGGTTATGCCTGCAACGAGGAGAGAGTTCTGATTCTGGGTTGGGTTATCTCAGCAATTGAAGTTCATATGCCTGAAGGTATGAATTTGTTGGGTTATCTCACCTCTTTCTGAGCTGCTGGGTTTGTTTAGTTTAATCATTTTGTGTTTGACTGGGTTTCATGAATTGAAAAGGAGAAACTAAGTTTGATGAGTAAAAGAAACACAAGAACTTTTTTCTGGGTTTGATTAATTGAAGGAGAAAGATGCCTGGGTAAGTGATTCAATTGATGGGGTTGCGTTACTGGCTGTCGGAGAGAGAGAGAGAGAGAGAGAGAGAGAGAGAGAGAGAGAGAGAGAGAGAGAAATTTTTTAGAATTAATTTAAAATAATTTAAACATTAAAATAAATTTTTTAATATTTTTTAATCCATGTGGAACTCCACGTCAATTAAAAATGGGTCCCATAAATGCCACGTAGGCAGATAATAAATTTCCTAACGGACTCGCTAACGGAGGGGGCAATCTGTAGGCTTTCTGTGACGTTGAGTATGTACCCATAAATGTCCCCAAAATCGGGTATGGACTCGTAAATGACCCTATAGGTTGGGGGGTTTACTGTAGTTTACCCTTAAAAATAACACTAAAAGCACAACCTTGAACAAAATTCAAACAACAGTTCCATTTTTTTCTCCTTCAATTCCAGGATATGTTTGCATTGCTTGTGAATCCTAAATAGTTGGATAGAACTTCTTCAGCCATTTGCCACTGATTGGTGCTGCATGGATGTCTCCATCTTGATCTTGTAATTTGTATGCCCCCAATCCAAGAACTTGCTTAATTATGAAAGGGCATTCCCATGTGGGTGACCATTTTTCATAACCAGCTACGTGTGTCCCAAGGGGCAGAACTGCTTTACAGACTATTTCTCCTTCTTCAAAACTCTTGTTTCTAACTCTCTTGTTATAGGCCTTGCCACAGCCTGCTTTCCTGCTAAGAGTTTGTTCAAGGTGTCAATTCTGCTTGTGTCTAGATCTTCTAGTTCTAACAGCATTGCTTGAGAGTAGTCTTCTCCAACCAGATCGTGTTTGCTGAGCAATTTTGAGAGATTGGACTGCTATTTCCATAGGCAAAATTGCATCATGACCATATGTTATAGCATATGGGGTCATGCCAGTTGTATCTCTCTTTGAAGTTCCATATGCCCAGAGAGTTTCTGATAATTTCTCAAGCCCTTGCTTTGGATTTTTCTCAAGCATTTTCCTGATAATATTGATGATCACCTTATTACTTGATTCTGCATGTCCATTAGCCTGATCATCAATATTTCCTTGATAAGTTCAAGCCCTATGATCACCTTATTTCTTGCCACAGCCTATTACTTGAACTTAAATGCTTCTGCCATATCTAGCATTTCTCCATATATGAAAGAAGATCCCCTGCCAGTTGTGATTGACTCTGGAATACCAAACCTTTGTACAATCTGTTCTTCTATGAAGGTGATGATCTCTTGAGATGTAGTTGATTTAACAGGTTTGTCTTCTACCCATTTGGTGAAATAGTCTGTAGCTACAATGATGCAACAGTGTTGCTTGCTACTTTCTGGGTAGATTTTGCCAATGAGATCCATTGCCCATTCTCTGAATGGCCATGGCTTAACCACTGGAATTCATGGGAACTGAAGGAGCCTACTGGATTGGACCATGCCTCTGACAAGCTTCACATCCTTTGGAATATTCAATGCAGTCTTTCATCATAGTTGGCCAGAAGTAGCCATACCTTCTAATTAACCAGCACATCTTCCTTCCACGTTGATGACCTCCATAGATTCCTTCATGGGCTTCTCCCATGACCTTCATGTACTCTTTTTTCCCTAAGCACCTCAAAAGTAACTCATCTTTGCTCTTTCAGACCAAATCTCCATTCCACATGAGGTAGTTTAAGGCTATGATTCTAATCTTTTTTTCAAAGGGAAGGGTTGGATATTGTAGATAATTGATTATAGGCAATCTCCAATCTTCTTTAGTCATTATGGCAGCATTGACATCTATTTCCATTCCTCTGGTCAGGACAGATGGTGGGCTTTTCTTTCCTACCTTGATGATTCTCTGTACGCAGTCTTCATGCATTTGTACTTCTGTTGCTATTTGGGCCATCTCATTAGCTGCAAAGTTTTCTTCTCTTGGAATATGTTCCTAAGTTACTTCCCTGAATTCTACCAAGATATTTATGGCCGCTACTAGATAGACAGCTAGAGAAGGGCTCAAACATTTGTATTCTCCAGCAATCTATTTTAGTATAAGCATGGAATCTCCCAGAATTTCAACAAAGTGGATTCCTAGTTCCACCAGTATTTCTAGTCCTATGATTAAAGCTTCGTATCCTTGCCCCAGAGGCTGAGTCTGTTTTAAATCCATCAAAGTATAGCTTCTAGGGAGTGAGATGGACTAAATAAATGGGATTATTGAGACAAGTGTGAGCTCTGGTCAATAGATCTGCATTGGCTATGTCCATGGAATCCATATTCTCAATTTCTTCTCCTGGATGATCTGCCAAGAAGTCTGCAACAGCTTGTCCCTTAATGGACTTCTGAGGAACATATCTGAAGGCAAATTCTAATAGGGCCAAAGTTTATTTACCAATTCTCCCTCTCAACATTGGCCTTGTTAGCATGTACTTGATCAGATCGGTTTTGGCAATGATGTAGGTGGTGAAAGGTAGTGTTTGAGTTTTATAGCAGTAAAGTATAAAGCCAAACAAAGCATTTCAATTGCAGAATATTTCCTTTCTACTTCTGTCAGAGTTCTGCTTAGGTCATAAACTGCATGTTCCTTCCCTTCTTTGTTATCTTGAACTAACACTACTACGTTTTACTATTGGCGCGACGCCATTTTGCGCGACGAAAATAAATTCGTCGCGCAAAATGTACTACGGTGACGGCAAAAAATATTCGTCGTGCATACCACTGAAAACTTGCGAGACCAAAATATATCGTCGAGCAAAATGTCTTAGCACGAGATAAAAAATTTTCGTCACGCAAAGTAAAGAAAAAAAGCCAAGGTATTTTTTTTTGGCGCGAAACACTTGCACAACGATAAATATCGTCGCGTAAGAAAACATAGCACGACGAGTCAAATTTTCGTCGCACAAAGGTGGACAGAAAACAGTGGGTCCCGTTATTTGGAGGCAAAAACTTGTGCGACGACACTTTTCGTCGCAAATGACAACTTAGCACGATGAAACTAGTTATCGTCGCGTAAGATAACGAGGGAAATACTTGTGTTTTTTTGTTTGCGCGACGGAGGGTTGAGTTTGCGTGACGACATTTAGAATTTGCGCGACGAAAGTTTGTGCGACGAAGATTATCATGCGTAGCGCAAAAGTTTGATGTCGACACGTGATTGCGCGACGAAAATGTTGTTTTGTGCGACGGAAAAGTGGTTTTTCGCGATGGCAGTTTGCGCGACGAATTCTGTTCTTCGTCACACAAAGTCCTTCTTCATATTAGAATTCTGCCATTGCAGAGGCAGAATGCAAAAAAAATAGCGTTCTGCCTTTCTCTCAACCTCTCTGCCGCTGCCTCTCCTGGGAATGATTTGTAATTAGCGATTGGTCGAGAACGATTGAGAAGGTATTTTATTCGTTTTACATATTAAAAATGTTAAAGTTAGTTTGTTATGTTTATATTTTTTTTTGTGAATTTATATTTATATTATGTTGTTAAATTGTACGTGACGTAGCACAATATGTTGTGATGTACGAAGTTAATTGAAATTAACTTCGTACTTTTATTTTTATGTTTAGTAACACTTAGTTTCCCATTCGAGATTAGTTGGATTTCGTGCATGGATGCGTAAAGCATGACTGCGATCCAATTAATTCTTGAATTGTCCCATTATTTGGACAGTTTGGTAATGCATAGTGTTGTCACGTAATCTACGGCTACAAGATTAGGTTTCGATTGTGAAGATTTCGGTGTCATCTCGGTACGTTCTTTGGGTGGTACATATGTATTTATACCTATGCCCACCTCAAGAACTATATCGAGATGCTGCCAAAATTCATCCACATCGAAATCTAATCTCATGTAGCCGTAGGTTACGTGACAGGACTATGCATTCCCAAATGGGATAGGGCTCTTATCGGAGGCATAAGGTGACATTATAACTTCGTATGAAGTTGTTGTGATTGTGGTTTCAAGAATTATGAGCAGAAGGTGGATACATAACCCGAATAGATGCACAGACAAATACTTGGATGAAATTGGGGATTTTATTGAGCTTGCACCTAGACACAACCCGAGTGCAACTAGAATTCGTTGTCCTTATAGGAGGTGTAATAACACGTTGTGGGAGACAATTGAAAATGTTGGATTTCATTTAGTAAGGAATGGAATGATTGAGACATATAGCATTTGGAACCTTAACGGGGAACAATTAGACCATGCTTCGTCTTCAAATGCCATAACAGTGGACAATGTTGAACTTATTGTGGATCCTAATGATCAAGTCATGGATATTATACAGGATGCTTTTCCATTTGCATTGACCAACATCAATTAGGAAGGGGAAGATGATGTACCTACACCAATAGACAGTGCGGAGTTTGAACAATATGAAAAACTGTTAAAAAATGCCAACCAAGAGTTATACCCGAGGTGCGAGAGCTTTTCCGTTCTCACAGCCATTGTGGAGCTAATGCACGGGAAAATAAAGTATCGTATGTCGAACCTGTGTTTCGATTACTTTTTGGGGGTTTTCAAGAGAATGCTTCCGACGGACAATTGTTTATCGAAAGACCATAAACACGCGCAGAAGGTGTTGAATGGTCTTGGCTTGGGTTATGAAAATATTCACGCTTGCAAAAACAATTGCATGTTATTCTACAAAGAGCATGAAACATTGGATACATGCCCTATATGCAATGGGTCGAGGTACAAAATGACATCTCATAATAGAATGACTAAGATTTCTCAAAAAGTCATGCGTTATCTGCCCCTAAAACCTAGGTTGCAGCGATTGTATATGTCAACGCATACTGCCATAGACATGAGATGGCATAAGGAAAAACGGGTGAACGATGATGTGATGATCCTGCAGATGGGGAGGCATGGAAAGAGTTCGATCGAACGTTCCCCGAGTTTGCTGCTAATCCCCGAAATGTTAGATTGAGACTTGCCACTGACGGATTCAATCCATATGAGGTTCTAAACCAACACCACAGCACTTGGCCGATTTTTGTATTCCCATATAATTTGCCGCCTTGGAAATGCATGAAAAAAGAATACATGATGATGACTGTTTTGATAACTGAGGATCCTGGTAGGTCAATCGATGTTTACTTAAGGCCACTGATTGATGAGCTGAAGGATTTATAGATAAACGGTGTTCGCACGTACGATAAATCAACTGGGAAGATGTTCACTTTGCGGGCAGCAGTTATGTGGACTATGAATGATTTTCCAGCATATGCAATGGTTTCTGGGTGAAGCACAAAGGGTTATATGGCATGTCCTGTATGCAAGGAAGATGTAACTTCTGGTTGGCACGCTGGAAAAGTTTGTTCCCTTGGTCATCAAAGATGGTTGCCATGGGACCACAAGTGGCAGGAAAAAGATAAAGAGTTCGACGAGAACACAGAGCATCGCCTCAGACCTAGAGAATGGTCCGGTGATGAGATCTTGGAACAGCTGAACCGTTTGGATTTTGCTCCGTTCGGGAAAACAGTTAGTCGAACCAGACCTTCTACACATATGAACTGGACGCAGAAGCCTATGTTTTTTGAGCTCCCATATTGGTCGAAACTCAAATTGAGGCACAATCTAGATGTGATCCATGTTGAGAAAAATGTATTCGACACATTGGTGGGCACGATTCTAGATATCGAGGGCAAGACAAAGGACACGATCAAAGCTCGTCTTGATTTGGAAAGAGTGGGCATACGATGGGGTTTATGGATGAATAGGGACAGTGATAAAGCTAGAAGGGATCTTGCATTCTTTTCTATGAAACCGAATGACAAAAAAGAGTTTCTAAAGTTTGTATCATCTGTAAAGTTTCCCGATGGGTATGCTTCTAATATCGCATGTTGCGTGAATGTTGACGGGAGTAAATTTACTGGACTTAAGAGCCATGATTGCCATGCATTTAGGTAACGCCTACTTCCTGTGGGTATTCGACACTTATTGCCGGAAGATGTAGTGAAGCCAATCATGTTGTTGTCCAGATTTTTTTCCCAACTGACGGCAAAAACATTGTGAAAGACAGACATGTTTTAGTTGCGCCATGACATTGTCCAAGTCCTATGCAAGTTCCAGCTTTCTTCACAAGTATGATTCACGTGATGGTTCATATCATTATTTAATTCAGATGATATCATTATTTAAAACTCTAGACAACTTTTTGTTTATAGGTTTTATAATTTTCTTTAAAAACTTCAAAGTAAACAAATAAATTCAGATGAAGCATCAAATACTCAAATTCAGTGTAAATCTGAGTCTAATATCTATCTACAAAGCAAAAGAGAGACATCTATTACTGAAGTCCTAATTGAGAAAGCAACAATCTGTCCACACACAAAGAGAGAGAGAGAGAGAGAGAGAGAGAGAGGAGAGAGAGAGAGAGAGAGAGAGAGAGAGGAGAGAGAGAGGAGAGAGAGAGAGGAGAGAGCATTTGGGAACCAAAAAGATTAATATGAGATTCTGTTCCTGTGGTGTGTGAATGGGAACCAAAATATTAATATAAAAAGATGTTTCCAATTATTTCAGAGCATTTTCACAAAAATGTTTTCCTGCTTTTAAATTCCCTAAGCAAATCAATGATTTGGCAAATTGAAAAGGGGGAAACACAAGACATAATGGTAATTTAATAACAAGAAGGTGTTATATCTCACATATTACATGCTCAACCAATCATTACCATTCAAATGAAAATCTCATCTTCATAACAAGCATAGTTTTGAACAAACTGAATAGAAAAAGAGGTTAAGAAGTTGCAAATCCCCATCCACTTCATTCAACGACAAAGAAAGCAAAAAAAAAAACTAAACCAATTTCACAAATCCACAAACTGAGAAGAAAATTATTGGAGAAAAATGGGTATTGCTCACCAGCTTATGTTGACAAAGAAGAAGATATGAGGAAATAAGGAGAAGAGCCAAGAAGGAGAAGGAGGAAGAGGCGTAGATGATCGAAGGAGAGGAAGCAGGGGCAAGGGCGTAGATGATCGAAGGAGAGAGGAATCGGAGGCATAGACGATCGAAGGAGAAAGGAGGAGGAGGCGATGTCATTCTAAACCCGTGGTTCCCCTTGGGTTTTCAATACTAGGGTTCGCTGGACTGTTATCCTATAGAAAATACAAGTTCGACCCAGTCTCGTTGTGCATTTAGGCTCACCAAACGACGGATAAGATTGTAATCTATTTTAATTGAAAAAAATCTAGTCCAGTCCAGCCCACCAAACAGGGCCAAAAGGGATTAAACCAAATAAACCCAACTCGCCCTCTCCCCATGAACCCAATCAATTATCCTTCAAACACAACCCTAAATAAGAACATAAAAAAATCTCATCCTCAGCCACCCCACCCCCATCCCTTTGTTCATGTCTCTCTCTAGCCTCAAATCTATTATCGGCACCCAATATTCGAGCCCTCCCTCTATTGTTGCTTCCATTGCCAACGTCAGCCCAACATAAATCAATATTATAAATTACAATTAGGGTTTGGAGCAACCAATGAAAGAGGGAGAGGGAGCAATCGCCAACCTCTCTCTCAATTTGCTGCAGTTGTTGCAGGAGCTGGAGACAAAAAAGAAAATTAATTGAAAAGGGGAAACTGAGTTTGATTAACAAGAATTTTTTTTTCCTTTTTTTATAAAGGTTTGATTAATTGAAGGAGAAGAAAAATATGTGATTTCTTGATATTGATTGACTTAATTGATGGGTGGGGAGGTGAGCAATGGAGACAAGAGAGAGAAGAGAGAGATTGAGCTTGAGAAAAAAAAAAAGTAATTGTAATTCAAAGAGGGAGGGAAGGCAAGAGAGAGATAATGGAGAGATAATTTTTTATTATTTACTTTTAGATGGACAATTTACCTCGTCGGATTTTTGGTGGGAGTATATAAAGTTTAGGACCCACTTGAGACACTTTTGGTGATGAGTGGTGGGCCATAGAAAGGACACATCAGCGTTTAACGAAGATCTTGACAGCAACACGGACGGATGTATGAAATTGATAGTAAAAGTAAACATTGTGAATGAGAGTGAGAGGAAAAAAACTTTGGGTATCAAAGTCAGAATTTTGGGAACTTGCAGGTAGTAAAGTAAAATTTACCCTATTTATTATCTATTTTGACACCAACAAGCCCAATGCTAGATAGTTGCAAAGTGGAAAATTTATGCAACTGGCGGGCCCAAAGAACGCCCAATATATACACTGAATAAACTGGCCAATATATGATCATAATTTTCTTTTGCAATGCTAACCATCATCTGCATTACGAAAAACAAAACAAAATGTTACAAAACGCAACTACATCTCATGGTGATCTTATTTTCATGCATTGTCTGTTGTTAATTGGTAAAATAAATTTGTTCATCACAACTAGTGTTTTCAAAGGCATGCGTAGGTGTTGTTTATGCAAATTTCTCATGGGAGAATATTTGTGGATGATTCTTTTCTCTTGTTTGTTCATTTGATAGATTCCCTGCATGACAAATGGCAGTCAATGAAAAACCACCAGTGTGGTGGTGGCCAAGGGCCCTCCGATGCCTAGGTCAATAATATGGTCTCAGAAGATGCAGATAATACTGAAATGATGTATATATTCCTCTACGAGAGAGATATGTGGCTTGGGAGCCAAGTATGTAAAGGAGGTGACAACAGCCTAAGCTGGGCAACCACAAGTATGAGAGTAGGGGAGGATTTCGGCTAGAGAGAGAGAAAGAGAGTAATTTTCGGGATTTTCGTAAGGAAGAGTTACCTTATTTGTGTCCTCCATTTAGCTTAAATAGATTTTCCTTTCTCATAACATTCATTTTTTTAATTAAGGAAGGAATAATGGAGAATTATTCCTCTCTTGATTAATTGGGTAGAGGGAAGTAATTTTCGAGCCACTTCATGCAAGGTCATGGCGAACACCTTGCACATCAGCGCATCATTGCCTTTGTAGAGTATCATGACACTCCTAAAATGCTTGAGGGGGTTTTGGGGTCGAAATCCCCTTTGAATGGTGTGAAGGTAGGTGTTGAAAACCTCCTTGGTAGGGTTGCCTGCTCAATTTCGTCAGTGAACAGTGAGGAGTTCACTTGGTCTACTTCCTTGTGCAGGGCGTCCTCTAAATCTCCTCCGACCCTTAGGCCTTGGAGTTGATCATTCACGAGTTTCTCGATGTCTTCCACTCGCAATGTTTGTGGCTTTTGCTGCAAATGTCTATAATGTCGGCATCGCTGGTCAACCTCCTCATCGGCTGACGGGGTTGTTCCCTTCTGCTGGCCTACCGAGGCAATATATTGGTTGATTAGGCTTGCAAAAGGTTTTACACAACATGTGGCCTGGAATATGCTCTTCCTGTTCGAGCATGTGAGTGCTTTCCTTCATGTTCCCTATGTGGAGGGCTGCACAGTTGGTCTCCCTGTGGGCTTAATCTCAAACGGATGCTTTTGTGCTAGCCCAATAGGGTGTAGGCATCAGATTGTGCCCCTAATCTCAAGTGCACATTAGTCTGTGGGCTTAGTCTCGAATGAGCTCTCATCCTGCTCTAGTCTTAACTCACAGATGCTCTTGATATTCCAGCATGCTGGTCAGCACGTTCTTGTCTTCCTTCCTGCCTACTGGTCCTTGCTTGATCTCCTCGAGATATTTCGAGATGTCTACCGGTGCGCTCACCCATCCTTGTTTCTTCACCATTGGACCTTGGTCCAAAGTCTCGAACCAAGTTGATCTGCTTGAGTAGCCGATCAACCAAATTGCTTTGGTCCTCAACTCTCCTAGTCAGCTCGTCAACCTTGCGATTAAGACGCTTGGCTGTTTGGGCAGGTAGGAGAGAATTGTGTGGAGCCAAGTTAAGGACGACCTAGGGCTTCTTCGGAAGTGCGAATAGGTGCAACATTTAAGGGTTGTGGTAGCAAAGGTGGGTGTGGCAACACCTACTCCAAGATTGGTCCAAGCTGGGCAGCAGCTGCCCCATGGGAATTGTTAGTCTCGACGGCGGTACCATGAGGACTTGGTGTTACGGTGGAGTTTTTGGCCACCGTCTTGTTCTTGTGGTGATACTTTTCACCATGATTGTTTCGAATGCTTCGATTGGATTTGATAAATGGAAAGGAAAATAATTTCCTTATTGAAATTTGTGAGAGCTTCTCTTTGAGTATATTTCGAGGCTCTCAATGAAAGCACCATAATTTTTGTACAAATTTCTCACGGGAGAATATTCGCAGATGATTCTTCCTCTCGTTCGTTCATCTGTTAGATTCCCTGCAAGACAAATGGCGGTCAACGGAGAACCACCAATGTGGTGGTGGCCAAGGGCCCTCCGATGCCTAAGTCAGTAATATGGTCTCAGAAGATGCAGATAATACTGAAAGGATGAAGATATTTCTCTACGAGAGAGATATGTGGCTTGCGAGCTGAGTAGGTAAGAGAGGTGGTGACAGCCTGAGTTGATCAACCAAGAGTATGAGAGCAAGGGAGGATTTCGGCTAGAGAAAGAGTAATTTTCGGTAATTTTCCGAGTGAGAAAGAGTTACCTTATTTGTGTCCTTCATTTAGCTTAAATAGGTTTTCTTTTCTCGTAACATTCATTTTCCAATTAAGGAGGGAATAATGGAGAATTATTCATTTCTTGATTAATTGGGTTGAGGGAAGTTATGGAAGGAAATAAATAGACTGAGGTTATTTATGGAATTTATTCCCTCAACCTAAATAGGTAACTCCCGTATTGAATATATTATGAAATACGAATATTGATTTGAATAATATATTCTTAGGGTTTGCTCCTTTTCCACATGGCGCCTCCTGATTGGTTGTCAGATTTCTTTGCTCCCATAAGCCCGCATCGGAGCGAGGAGGGAGCAAATCGCCTCAGGCGTTCCCTTGTTTAGCTGTTTGCATGATTAGTGTTCACATCGACAGCAAGGCAATGTGCAGTGATGCTTTACGGCTCTGCTAGGCGCATCTGCGCGAGGAAGAAGAAGACAACACGAGGAAGGAGGTGTGTCTGCGACGTTGTTGTTTCATGTAGTCCAATTGTTTTTTAACACTTCATTTTGATATTATCTATGCTTTAGGTTTTACGCATCCCATGTCCCTCTTTTAAATAGAAACACTGCGTTTAATAAGCAGCAAAACCTTTTTATTTGCTCCATAAAAAATAAATTAACCTTATTATATTTAGCTTGTCCTAACTTAGCCCTAATTGGTTCTTAGTCTGACTCTTTTTTAACTTCTGATAAATTTTTTTTTTAAAAAAAAAGCTCTTTTTTTTACTAGATTCATGTATATATTTCTTAATTTTATTTTGCTTCAATAAAAATTAGTAGTAAAATTTAATTGTACTATATTATTTATATAGAATTTTCTTATTATAATAAATTAATGTTTGAAAGTCTTACGCCTCAATGCTTCAAGTCTTATGCCTCGTCTTGCTCAATTAAAAACGTCTCACTTGTACGCATTGTCTTTCAAAACATTAATCACAACAAGCTTTGTAAAATATGAATGGTACCCAAAAACCTTGTTCGGGTCATAAACGATACTAGAGTAGAGTGCCAATGAAATGTGAATGCGGTTGGGAGTGCCACTGTTTTCCATTGCGGCTTGGAAGCTAAGGACGGTATAAGAATAAGTGAAAGGGGGAGTGTAGCCGCAAAAATTGACATGGGATGCCGAAAGCATAGTAAATAAACCTCATGTCACTAGTCCAAATCAAGGTGGGATCCACCCCCACAATATCAGCATATTTTCCTGATTTTGCCCAAATCCCATGCTTGCCTTGATAAGTGAGCACATGTCACTCTAATCATGCGCAATCAAAAGCGTAAAGATTAAGGAAAAAAGAAAAAGAATGCTTGCTACTTTCCCTTTTTGTATTTCACTCATATATAAACGCTTTATTATCATTATGAGCAAAATATTAGGATTCGTTTGATAACGATTTTAATTTTACTTTTAATTTTTTGTATTAGAATATGGAGGAAAATAAGAGTAAGGATGAGATTGAGAGAGAGGATGAGAGGGGATGAGTAACAAAAGTGAAAATAATTTTAAAAAGATTTCAATTTTTATTTTTTACTTTCACTTTTGTTACTTTTCCCTCCCGTCATTTTCTCTCATATTTCCTCTCAATCTCATCTTCACTCTCATTCTCACTTTCATTCTCTCTTTTTTTCCTCTATACTCTAGCGCAAAAAATAAAAAATAAAATTGAAATGATCATCAAACGGGCCCTAAGCATTTTGCATGCACAAACTAATGTGTGGATGAAATACAGGTGACAGAAGAAGACAAGAATTGAAAGACGAGAGGGAAGCTTCTCCTTGTTTGCCCTTTTTCTTTTTGTCGTTTTGCAGTTCATTATGTAGGCAGGCAGATCAGCCTTTTTGGGCTTTGGAAGATTTGTGGGTGGCCCACAAGAGCTAACCTTTCCGGGACAAGTGGGTTGAAGGCCCACTGGAGCTTTAGCATGCGCATGGTTTTTAGCCGTTGTCTTTCAATTTGTACTGATCCTTACGACAAAAAAAAGATAAGAGCTTTGGGTTCAATTATTATTTTTATACTTCATCGCAAACCCAAAAACCAAGTGGGAGAATAAAGCGTTAAAAAGCAGTGGAGCCTCCTCGTCTTTGCCTTGTTCAAACAGCACGTTTCTACCTTGTCCAATTTTATTTTTTTATTTTTATTTTTCCTTGTGTTTTTTTTTGTTTTGTTTTTGGTGTTTCAAATTGCTTGCCACCCGGAGTTGGAGATGTTTAAGGTTTTTGAAGCTCGATGGTTGGTCGGTTCCATTTCCCACTTTAAGGATTTGCAAAGTGTAACGTGTCCCAATTTGCAACCTCCACTTATGATGGCTCATCATGGGAAACCAAGGTTCGTGTATTTAAAAAAGTTAGCATGCACTGAAAATATATTATTATAATTTTATTTATTTTTTCTGTTTTTTGTGACCATTTTAATTTCCTTGTTAGTAACAAGGACGATAACATCTGTTGTTTGATTGGAGACTTTCCAATCCCATCAGAGGATCGATCGGGAACAATAATATTCTCCCTTTAATTCTTGAAGTGACGGCACTTCATTACATGTGTCATAGATTTTTACCAATCTGGCATTAAGATGAGTGACAAATATTCCGATGTGACTTTTCTTACGCTAGCAATATTTTGATGTGAGATTCAATTCAAAGATTTTCTTCTCCTTTTTTTCTTTTCAAAGAAATGGATTTCCTCTCTTAATTTCTACGGTCAATTGTATTGTAGATTGAAGTTTATTTAGTCCAAACCTTGGGGCTGCAAAATTGACGCATAAATCTTGAACTTCGGGGATTTAATATTTACATATAGCGATAGGTAAGAGACTATTTTGAATTGCAAATAATTTCTTCGCTGTTTGTGTGGAATGATATAGAGAACTGTTATCGGAACTCCAAAATAATCGTCATGCATTTCTTATTACTTCTAAAAAAAAGGCCAATGAAGTCTCGGTAGTAAATTATATTGCATGCTTAAGAGAGGATTATACCAAGAATTGAAATATATGGATGACATACTCAAGTCTTAAGCCTGAAAACCATGTGGTAATGCCTGAATATATATAGCCTATACATATGATTCTCTCCTTCATACTAGACGGGCGTTTTTCAATGCATGGTACTACAACAAAAGTGCGTAAAAGTTCAAGGCGGAAAAAAAAAAAAAAAAAAAAAAAAAAAAAAATGAAATTAAATGATCAAACTAACTAGCTAGCTAGAACTTGAACATAAAATTGATGATCTCAAATAGTAAACTTTCCTCTCAATATATATAAATATATAATACATAGAATTGAACCTCATCAAAATTAAATACGCATGCCGCTACTACTGGCTTGGATTATTCCAATTCCAGTCCTTTCCATCTTCGTCTTGATCATCTTGTTGTTGTCTTTGCGGCGGTTGCGATGCATTCGAGGATGAAAAATGCGTTGTTGGTGATGAAATTTGTGAACCAAATGGATCTTGGTGATTAAATAGATTGGAAGAGTGGTACGAGAAATCAATATCATTCCCGGAGAGAAGCTGTGCATACTGATACAAATCAGGGAAAGTTTCCGTCTGTGGCGCCATGAACGGAGCAGCTGGCGGATGAGCAACAGCACCGCTACCGGCTGGCCCCGTTAAATTTTGATTTTGTTGAGTAGAGGCACTGCTACTACTTGTTGTTCTTGTTGAACCAGAAGTAGCCATAAGCATGCCAAAGTCAGTCTTGCCTTGAACTCGTTCAGGAAAGTTGAGCTTGGCTTTTGTGCCTTTGAACCTGAGAGCCGCGTTATCGTATGCAATGGCAGCGTCTTCAGCTGTCTCAAAAGTCCCAAGCCAAACTCTGGCTGCTTTCTTTGGGTCACGTATTTCAGCTGCCCACTTCCCCCAAGGTCTTTGTCTCACTCCTCTGTAGTGTCGTCTCCTTACAGTCTCTTAATTCACAAACATGCACGTCATGAAATAACAATATATACGAAGTTTCATCTATTAAGTAGGAGCCAAAGATATATATTGTACGCTGTACAATAGAATTGAAAACAGAAATAGGGTCATTTTGCTTAAGTTTTTATATGTTGAGTTGATATACATTGAGCAAAACAACGTAGTTTCGGACATAAACACAATACGTTAAAAGTTAAAAATTGAGCAAAACAATGTAATTTCAAACATTAACACACAACACATTAAAAATTGAGCAAAACAATGTAGTTTCGGATACATCAAGCATAATGAGTTTAATTACAATGCTATCACGTTTACACATAAATAAAACGCAAGCATTTTAATTCCTAGTTTATGCATTGACACGTACGTCTTGACTTGCCATGCATTCTCAATGTGGAAGGAATCTAGCTAGAAGAGGGGTGTGATCAGCAGCGAAGTGTGCCCCACCGGTGCTAAAGGACTATATATATATATGTCAAGGTTTAAATTAAAAAGAGCTAGCTAAAAAGCAAGACAAAGATAGAGAAGGGTTCCCCACATTTTGGGTAAACAATTTTGGGGTCATCAAATCTTCCAGAAAACTTGAAGTTAAGTGACAATATAGCACCACCAAAGTAAAGATAGCTATAAAGTTTTTAGATGTCACTATCAAAGATCGGATAATGCCGAGACAAATACTCTCGAATTAGCTAGAAAACCAAAAAGATAGGCCCAAGGTTGAATTGTAATTAAACTATACATATAGATATTCAATGACTACAAAACACACACAATGGTGTGAAGTTTGAGAAAAACATGAAAAGAATGTCTCAGATAGAAACAAGAACCATTTTCAGCTCGTTGAGATAGAAAGAGGGTTCTTCACGGAAGGTAGGTAGGAAGCAATAATAATTTTGAACTTGTCTATGATGTAGGTTTCCTAAAAGTCTTTGGTCAAACTTCATATGTGCAAGTTATACACAGCTGGGGGAGATATATATATATATATATATATATAAATATATATATATATATATATTAGGAAGAGAGAGCAATCTTAGCCATAGCTATAGCTTCTTAAGTTTGATTATCTTGCCCAAAAAGGAACTTCAGATGGACACATGTTTAGACCATTACAACTTTTGACAATGCAAAACAAACAAAAGATGGATCAAAATCACAACTATATTGTGAAGGCATATGTCAATATCCATAAACCAAACCACAACCAAACAAAAAAAAAAAAATGGATGGAAAAAAAAAAAAAAAATAAAAAAAAAAAAAAAAAAAAAAAAAAAAAAAAAAAAAAAAAAAACGTACCTTGTTCCTGAACCGGCTCAGGGCGGTCCGGTTCTTCTTTTACTATAGAGTGAGAGATGGATGAAGGGTTTGATTGCACCACAGTTCCTTGGTGATGATCTTCGGTGGTTCCAATAACTTGAGTAAGAGCAGAAACCATGGCAGACATATCAGCTTCTGTCCAGTTTGATTCATAATTAGGAGGGAAGTCATGGTGGTGCTGAGGATCTCTCTCTTTCTCCTCCGATGCTTCTGAAGGAAGTGGGCGCTTTCCATGCCTTCGATCCACCTTTAATTTTGAGCTTCAACTAGTTGTTTTGGTGTGTGTCTCTTGGCTAGCAGTGCCTGGCTTCGATAAATTTGTTTCCTTTTGTCTTAGAGATTAGGACATCAAGATATAGAGAGATCAGATCAGAGAGAGTATGAAGTGTTGGTGTTGTGGTAATGAGGAGATGCACTAGCCAGAAAGGAAAATAGGGTTAGAGAGAAGGGCTTTTATTGGTCAGGTTTTCGAGTTTATCGTCTTATGTGTTGGTAACATGAGATGAAAATGAAATCCAACAAAAAAGATATGTAAGAGATGAAAGTAAAAATATAATATTAAATCCAAAGAAACAAAGAAAAAGGTGTTTTGACGCTTCCTTTTATATGTGTAATTTCGATTCTACCACTTCTTTCTGACAGTATTTAACTAAGCCTGTTTGATGATATTTAAATTGTTTGTTGGGCCCGTATGATAACGTTTCCACTATATGCTTGTATGTATTTAATGAAGAGCAGTAAATAGATGAAATAATTTTAAAAAAATATTTAAAGGAGAAAATGAATAAAGTAAAAGATTTTTAAAATTTATTCAAATTTTCTCTCATCTTCTCCTTCTCTCACAATTTAGTTTTTCTCTTTATTAATTTAAGAAATATAAAATGAAATAAAATCATTTCAAAACGAGCCTGTAATTTGCTTATTTTTCGATAAAATCAGAGTAAATAAGGCTTCTACCTTGTTTTTGCTTTCTTCCATTTAACTCTTGTAATGCCTAGTTCAGTATAAGATGTACAAATACAATTCTTCATTGCAAGACAGACAAGATTGAACATAATCAAGTCTTTTCAATAAGTTTTCAACTGGAAGGATACGATACCCTCTCAAAGCAAAGTCGATCGAACTCCCTTTTTCAGAATAAAGATCTCAGAAATCAAACACAAGTGATTAGGAGATCAAACATAAAGATGAGGAGATGGAGTAGATCGTACGACTCCCATTTCTCAACTTTTTTTATTTTCTTTTTTCATGTGTCACTCTCTCGATCCTCGCTTGCTAATTGCCCCTTTCTACAAATGGGAAGCTAATTATATATCAGTAATAAAAATAAAAATATTGGTTTTGATATTTCAGATCCATTCAAAGATTTTTCAACTTAATCCCAACTATATATATATATATATATATATATATATATGTGGTTTAGTCTTTCACGTCTGCTTTGCTTCGTTGAATATATGTAAGAAGGGATGTAGGATCTCCCTATACATTTATGCTCACATGGGCACTGTCTACTTGTTAATTATATACAAGTTGGACCCTTCTGTTCAGGTATGACACATATGTATATCTCTTTAATAATTCATAAATATATAGCCGTTCTTCACCGTCGAAGCACTGTGGGATTTGGTTTGGATTTTTGTGTAGGTCAAGATTCAAGAACTTGAATTTCATGAGGGAGGCTTTCAGGTGAATGTTTTGACTCCATCAAAGAACAAGTTGATGAATAAATATATAAGTATATCGAATGGATGAACGTCCCATCTCTCAAATAATACTATTTGAGGAATTCTTCGGTTGAAAGGGATTATATATTATAAATAAAATTAATAACAAATTGATTGATTTTATATTATTTATGATAAATTGGAAATTATTTAGATAGGAAGGTGCAGAGATGCAAACAAAGAATGCCCACATGTTCATCATATTGATTTGAATTGTTCTTTTTTCCTTTTTGTTTTGTTTTTGAAGTTCAGATGGAAAAGATTATACATGCACATGTAGGTGCAAATACGGACAGTCGTTCCACATGTAATTATCTCTTTCAAACTTTGCAGCTTTATCTTGAAAATTTTGAAGATATATGGCATTTTGTGAGTTTTGTGACGCTGCAATTTCATGTACATGCATGCCAGTAAATTCAATTATTCAACCGTCCACATCATAATCATGTTCCAGCTGAGGCTAAGATCCTCAACCAATCTTTCCCATAAATATGAGAGACACAATTCGAGAGAGAGAGAGAGAGAGAGAGAGAGAGAGAGTAGTTTAAGCTAAGCTAGTAACCATGTCCAGAGACATGCATGCATTATGCATATGTTCACTTTATTATTTATTTATTAAATTCTATAACTTTATATGTCCGTTTGTTTGATCCTCTCCTTGTCACCTCATCACGCTTGCACATGCTATAGTTTCTTTCTTTCTTTCTCCCTAACACATATTCTCCTTCCACAGTCCAAACAAGTACCCCCAAATAACTTGCAAAAGATTAAAGTTTATACCCAAAAATAAAATAAAGGCATGAGCATGCCAGCGTCGTCTAGTAGACTTTGAGGTCTGTCTATGTCATCATTGTAAGTTGCTATCATCCCTTACTTATTTTATGACTTTGTTAAATTCATTCGCGTCCAAATGAATTTTGACCATTTATAAAATATGGTGGGTTCTACATGCATTAACGGTCAAAAATTACTCATTATTCTATTTGCGCAATGCTTTGCTTGGTCACACTCCATAATCCATCGCCCTTCTTCTTGTAAAGTTTTGATCCATGAAAGACTATTCTAGATGGAGATTGCAGCAGGCGCATATGTACACAAAATGATGTGTGCCCCTGCCATATCATCAAAGGACGGAAAGACTTGAAGGAAACATGAGCCCTTGCAACGATAAATATTAATATTTAAATAATATTAATGTAGTCAAACAAGTTGAGTTGAATTTAGGTCCAAAAATTTAACAATACCAATATGTATAATTAATGAGAGTGCTGGTAAACGTCTGACCTTGAAACCGGCCTCACGTTGGGAGTTGTCGCTGACTTACTAGGCTAAAGTACCAAACTCAAAATATAAAATGAGACAGAGAGAGACTTACACTTACCCAAAGGAGAAAGTGGGATCAATTATATTCAAATCTCTACCAAATGAGAAAAGAACACAACATTATGCTTTCATTACACATGGAATATAAAATGAGGGCCCGATTAAAAAGGCACCAAACTTAGGCGACAACCCCAAAAAACAAAGGGAAAGAGAGAGAGAAAGAAAGTTTGGCAAGCCAGTTGAACTAGGTCGGTTACTTATGAGAAAAATAAAGTTGTAACGAGAGTAGCACTGTTTTGCTATCTCCAACTAATAATGCAATGCCATATTAAAGTGTTATTATACATATCATAGCGTTATTGACCGAAAATATCAAAATAATGTTATTCTCGTTTCATGAAAGTCTCTTCTCGTGACTCACGGATGACTGCATACCCTATATTAATGTCACAGTCCACGGGCTAGGCTACTATTTAGGGCAGGGCAGGGCAGGGAAGGGACCAGCCTAGCCCGACTAGCAAAGGAGGCAATGAGGGTTTGGATGGATCATTAATGACACAAGAGGCAAACAGTAAGAAGATTTTGTGGGCCAAATTTACATGGCAGACAAATTGGCACGGCATAGTGATTATTGATCTTGAATAGACTAGTAGTAACTTACAAATTTACAGTGAGATATTCATTGGCTCCATTAGTTCAAATGGGACAACTTGTTCGAATGAGTCTCAACTAAGTTTTAGGGTCGGTTTGAGAGTACTTTTGGAAAAACTAAAAGCGTTTCAGATTGTTGTACGCTCATCTAATTTATTTGGTTTCTCCGCGCTCTACATTATGCCTCAGGATGTCTTAAAAGGACCAATGCTTTGTACACAATGACAGCAGGGCACCAGTAGCTCCCCTTCTATACAAAACTTTTAGGAAAAATAAAAAGAAAAATAATAAACTGTTCTCTGGCAGGAAACTAAAGACAACGTATGATCATTGTATCATGAGTTCTAATCGGCATTTGACAATAAAGCAACACAAACCATACCAGTGTGACTTGAGATAAATCTGCACATCCAAGTCTCGTTCAGTGGTAACGGGCAGCTCCGGTGAAAGAAAAGCGTGAAGAGACTGGCACATTTGCCTCAACTGAGTTAGAGCTACCATGCAATGGTCTTTGAAGAGAATCAGCATACACCCAGCTCTGATCCTGATGGGCTGTCACTTGATAATACGGTTGGTAAGTTGATGGCCGTTCATAAGATGGTGCTAAAGAATGTGATTGCAACATAACACGTGAGGCTGCAACAGTGGGCAACTCTCGACTATACGATTCAGCGGCATAATCAGAATGGGCAAAAACATCTCGCTCCCTTCCCTGCGGCAACTGTGACCTGTCATACTCGCTTCTATACGTAACAACTTGATCCCTGGGAACCATCTCGTCCTCAAGTATGACCCCAAACCTGGGAAAATGTATGACAATATTATTTATACATGCTTCACATGTGCGAGGATTAACTCTGATTAATGAAAAATATAAATATGTAAAAACATGATGTGGACATAATGTAACTGTAACTGTAGGTGGTTTAGCCAGTGGAGTAATTTAAATAGGAGAATGAGGTATGATTTATAGAGGAATATTTTGGGAAAGAAAAAAATAAAGGCGGACACAAAGGAATCCCCTTTGCATAATAGAATAGAAGATACAGAATAGAGACCACCAAATGTACAAAATACCACAAAATCACGGCTGAAAGTAGTAATTGGACAGAAATGCAACAAAAGAATACACCTTCTATATGCATGCTGATAAGACAGGAAAGGTTGTTCAGGCAAGTATGGCTCATGTTCTGCTGCTAAATAATAGGAATCGGCATGATGAGGAAGAGAAGCATGCTGAACAACATGTCGAGGTTCTGTAGGAGGCTGTGCACGTGCCACGTGTGTTTCAACCTCATATTTATCGTAAAGTGGATATCTGACTACCTGCTTGGATTGGATATGGATTGGTAATTCATGAGTAGATTGCATGCCAGGTAAATAGGAGCCCTCTTGAAGACACAGTTTTGCTGTTGGATGAAATTCT